AGAGAGCGATTCTTCCAGGTTTGGGAACCACGGCTCTGGAATCTGAGCGAGGTCCATCTCAGCACAACAAAACTTACTAACTAGTTTAGTTTTCCACAGACATTCATCAAAGACTCATCTTTTACTTGTAAATCATTGCAAAACATATTATAGAAAACATAGTTTGAGTGATGCTCATAACTTTTTAAGTGTTTCTGACAACCCTAATGGATTCCCAAGTTTAATTATTTCTTAATATTGACATTTCTAATTAAGCAGCATAATTGCAAAGCCTGTGTGCAGTGGCAATTATTTCAGCGACCACTGAAAAATTAATATGAAAATTATTAATGAATACTACCGCTTTTAATTGCTGTGTACCCGTATTTATAATTGCTGCAGCGTCCTCCTTGAAATGACACGGTGACAAATACAAGTGTCATGTCAGCGCTTTCCTTCTTCATCTCACACCTCAATCAAAGCTAATCCATTTCACCTCAGCTACGAGCGCCGAGGCAAATTAAAGTCCCATTTCATTTTCCGTCTTCATTAATGCATCTCGTTTCCAAGGTTACAATCATTTAGTAACTGCGGAACAAACAAATCCAAGGGAGCCGCGTTGCTTTGATATTTTGAGGAGACGACGTGGATCGAGCTTATACCGGGAAACAAACCAACCCTGAGTTTTAATCCTGCAGCTCCAGAATGCTCTGCACACCATTTTTCACAACACAAAGCCCTTCTTTCCCCCTCAAACACTTTAATATTACACTTTAGACGCTCATGCACACAGAGTAGTTTTCATATGGCCAATGTTACACGAGTAAATACATCGTCCAAATGGCGACAGGAGACGGCGTGAGCAGTAAGTGCACGATGTCATTGCGCTCGCAGCGTTTCCTCCCGTAGTTTGATGTGACGACGCCAGACACAATGACCCAATTTGCCTGAGCGGATGTAAGAGGGCACCAATGGCAGGTTGCATCACAAACACCGTACAAAGCCCCTCTCCAAAGGAAACCACACAATGCTTTGTGTGTGTAATGAAAGGCTGCCGCATGAAATGTCACATTTATCGGTGTTTACGCACCACATTTTCTTTCTTTGCTTCAAATTGTGAGAGGATGAAAAACGCAGCCTAAAGAAAACGCGCGGCTGGAGCCGGTGGGGGCATTGATGAGTTCCCAGACGAGCCTCTTTCGCATGCAAATCATATCTGAGTTTCTCATTAGCATAAATGCATGAGCAACTTTAAATGCTTTTAATTTTCAATCTCGCCAAGCAGAGGAGTAATTTGTCACTGTCAGGATAGGAGACTAAAAAGGGGGAGGGGGGGATGATGGGGGGGGGTGGAGGGGGACCAGAGGGAGCCAAGGACGCCACGCTAAACAGAAATCACAGAAAATTTCTGATTTACTAATTGACTGATGTGCAGTTCAGTCAAGAAGCCTTGAAGGTGTAAATAATTCTGTGTATGTTCAAATGGCAAAAATGAGAGAGTTTAGGGTGGATACGGAAAAGCACATTACGGCCCCCCCCCCGACCCCCGGGCCATTCAGCAAGTAGTCTGTCTCTATAAAGGGTAAGCATGCTGTTTTAGTGCATAATCGCAGATAATCAACTGGAAATTAAAACAAAATGTCGTTATTTTCTTTTTTTCCTTATTTTTTTTCATCTGCTTCAAAGCGGTTCGACGGCCCGGCACACAAACATTCCCAACAGCTTCATCGCATTTGTGGTTTTAAGTCGTTTCAGATTTTATCTTCACCCTTTCAAGACGCGAGATCCATTGACACCTCACTGTGAAGTCAAAGTTTTTTTTTTTTTTTTAACAAAGCAGTTCAGATTCAGACAGACCTTGTTAGCTAAATTTAGCTGCAGGTGAAAACAAGGGGAAAAATAATTTCACGAGCTCCTCATTTAAATGACTAAAACCAATTATGCAAACATAATTAGCATTCAGTGAGGGAACTAAAGAAGACGGCGAGCTGCTCTCGCCTCCAAAGAAGGCCCCCGTCGGACCAGATCCTGGCGGACGTAGCCGTCTGTGCAACAACGGATGAAATGCACGCCCTCGCTTGGCCGGCCCTGGCGGGGGTGGCCGTCGGCCCATTCAGCCCCTCCGGAGGGTTCTCCAGGAACGAGTCATGTTTTCAGTAGGGGGGCCCTTTCATTGCAAATCCAGCTACACACCTCCCGCGTACATTCGAACAGACAGAGGACAATGTCAAACGGGACGTGAAACGCTTGAATGGTAAGTCGCGATATGCAATTAAGAGAGTCTTTGGTCTAATTAAGGGGTTCCCAGGTGTGCCTTTTCTGAAACCAGTAAGGGTATCGAACATATTTATTTACAGGATACAAAGAATTGAACCAGATGTGACGGTGAGGGAATAGCAAATATGCTCCCATCGAATCCAACGTGTGTTATGACACCCTCATCACCTTACCCAGTGAAAAAAAAATGACACTGCAGATAAAAAGGTCAAAGACAGTTTTAGATGAGATTCTCACCTCAGTTGATAATAGTCGTATTTTAATGAAATGAAACCACATCTCCTTCACTTGACTGAGCTCTGACATTCAGAAGCAGCATTTTGGTCCCTTCAAACGATGATAAATTGTGTTGATTTACATTACACAAGGTTTTGTCTCTTTACTGCTACTTAGCTAAGTACCATCTTCCAAGTACATTTACGTAAGTTTAAGTTTTTAAATAACTTATGACACATTTATGCACGGTTGGCCTTTTACCATCATGGCAAGATCTGAAATAAATCGATAACTGGTGAATAGAATCGGCTCGGAAGTCACGTATTGCTGGCTAACTAGCTTGCTAGCTTGATTAAACTAAGCTAATGCTAATTACTTATCAGGCGCAGCAGATGTGACATTTAATAAAAAATACAAATAAATGTGCGGCTTTCATTGGTAGGTTTATGAAACAGGGAGAGAATATATGCGCGATGTATAGGTAGGAAACAGCTAAATACTAAATTAATTTAGTCAAGAGGGCATTTAATCGAGAAGCCGGTGAACTGGAGGAGCAGACAAGAGGGTCCAGCCCCAACATCAGGAGACTGTCAATCATTCTGGTTCCATGGCAACAGGCTGAGCGTTTAGTGTGGGTTTGATCTTGAGTAACAAAGCTTTCTTCTCAACGTCATGAAGTTATTGGAACGATTAGTATTAGAACACTGGGCTACTAAATTAAAATCATGAATCCAAGCCTGGTAGCTGTATGGCAGTGAGCTCGACACCAGTGTAAATAAAGTACGAGCATCCCCGAATGGAAAATGCTGCAGCCGTGTCCATGTCCATCCTCTACATCGTTCTCATACTGCCCTCCAGTGTTGAAGCGGGTGAACACAGTGGGAAATAGAGCAAGGGGAAACGATAGAACCGACACATGTTCAATATGGCACCTCTGGAATTAACTAAATATTACATTTATGCTCAGATTTTAGACTGTAGTTTGTGGTGGAATTCAATAGGTTACTAAATTAAAGGGGGAATTACATCCTTTATTTGCGCCTTATCTTTATTGTGTAGTTAAACTACTAAAACAACTACGCACTAAAAAGTCTCCTTAATGAGTTGCAATAAAAGATTACTGGGTGTGATTAGTCACGGGGGATCAGTGGTCTGTGGATTACATTGTACAAGTAACAAAAAAATGTATATATGTGCATATTGACAGTCAATTACATGATTTTTCTTTTTAATATTGTATACTCTTTATGAATTAGGATTTATGAGCAATATTGGCGCAGTTTGAATGTCATGTAAAATAAAATGGGTTGGCTTATTTCATACAAGGTAGGCTGAAATATACCTATGTTGTGAACCTTTTGTTATTTAAAATCGTTACTTAGAGCAACCTTTTTGGAGTCACGTAATGTTCCTCTTTTTTTGTATTTTTGAGGAACAAAAGGAAGCTAAGCTTAGTTGGGATATATATATATATATATATATATATATATATATATATATATATATATATATATATATATATAATACACTCGGGAGTTTGGTGGCTACATCCTTACCTGTTCTGGTATTAGTATTAGTTGTACTATTAAAGCAATTATCCATGTTCTATCATGTCACAAATGTTTTTTCCACATAAGTACATCTTACCATGCAGGCATGTTGTGGCCTCATCTCGCTCAGTCAGGTCACACAATGATGACGTCATTGAAGCATTTGACCCGCAGAGAATCTTGGGAAATGGAGGAACATTCGATGTGCCATTATCCTGCATTCTCCCTTTGAGCCACAGAGGACGCTGCTTAGCAGCAGTTAGTGTCCTGCAATAAAAACAGTTCTCTCATTTAATACTTTGATAGATGCAGGGATAGAAAAAAAAGTCAATGTATGTCTGATTCCAACAAAAAAACCTCTTGTAGTTTTTGGATAATAGCACACAACTGACTGACTATACTTGAGTTTATTATGAGGTTCCATGACATTACTTCTTTTATCTATAAAGCATAAACAAAGATTTGTATTTATATTATTTTTCATGTAGTTCGATATAATAATAATTTTAGAATTGTTTAAAGCGCCATGAGAAAGATCTCTCTATAAAATAATACCACACAATGATCATTTTATCACAACGATAAAAAACATTTGAGAAGATAATTGTAGTCATCTTATTATCTAAAATATTAGGAACAATCTCATACTTGCAATAAATAAAATAATAGACAAAAGTTAAGTCATAAAGCCTAAAAACAGTAAATAAAAATGAAGGTGGTGGATATGGGCATCAATCTGCATTTCATTTTGTCACATATGCAGTACTTTACCTTTCAATTTTTGAAGCATATGACCGGCTTGTAAATGAGAGCTACGAAAAGCTGTGATGAAATCAGATAAGCTTTACAACATGGACATTATAGGGATATCATAAATATGACTGTGCATGTATTAGAATGGCTCTACGTGGTGCAGTTACACTCAGCCTCCACTAGACGGCAGCTTTGTTTCGTTAAAGACATATTCAGAGAAACAGGTCATTTTCAGACACAAATATATTTTTATTTTTAGCACTTAGTTCTGACTGATATACATTATCCAACAGCTAGTTTAGTTGTTAGCCCACTCCATATGCCTTCAACTGGAAGCCTAACATTGCAGCACTTTAGCAAATCCATACCAAAAAAGAATCACAAAAATACAGTTTCCAGCCAGCGAAATATTAAAACCACATCCACTTTGTCCTCGTCGCATTGGCGTTCCCAAAAAAATGTATCAAAAGCAAATTTTTCCAGGAGTTTATCACCAGTAACCTCCATTCCAATGTGTTGTTGCAAAGCAAACGAATACTGTGAAAGGCAAAAACCAAACGGTTTGTTTGAGTAACTGTCATGACCCTGACCTCCTTTCTGCACTGTGGGGTTGAACCTGCTGGCACTTGAACGTGGGTCTGTGGCTGTTTCCTTAAACACTTACAGGGAGATAAATACATACAGATATCACCGTTATCTATTCTAAATGTCTTACTTTCCCTCAACATCCCAGAAAGTGCCTGTTAGCAGCAACACAATATCATTCCTCTTAAAAGAAAACACCTATCTTCTTTCTTTTTATGACTCAAATCTGTGGGTTTAATGCACAGAAGATGCAAAAAGTCTTTATCGGTTTTGATTATTTATCTTTGGCAAGCGTGCTAAATGTAGGACCTGTGACACCTGTGAGTAGAATATGAACTATAACCAAAACGGCTTTCACTGATTGCAAAAGTAAATACATTTACTTATGTGTACTTCAGTTTCTAATTACTTGATAGCTGGAATTCCACATGAGCTTAGCCCGATAATAACAGTTTAACAGATTATAATTTGTTTCCCAGCTCAAATGTGAGAAATGTGTATATTCTCTTATATTATCAAATAATACAGCAAAAATATTTGGGTTTTGGACAGTTGGTTGTATGAAACAAGACAACACTCGAATGCATCTCCTTTGGGTACGGTAAATTAGAAAATGTGTAGTTTCTTGACATTTTGTTTACAAAATAATGAATTGCTTAATCACAAAAAAAATCCTTAGTTCCAGCCTTAAATCGAAGAACTGTTGCTTTCCTTCCAAGTCGTATTCCCATTATAGTAATTATTAAATAGCATTACAGCAGACCCACCTGTCTATTTGGTCTCATTTGCATAGAACCTGCGTTGCATCGTTCAAAGGCGCACTATGCTTCTACAACTTTCAACAAAACGCTTGTCACCAGTCAACTAGTTATTAATCTCTAAATGATATCTATCCGAACTACAAAAACAACCTACAGTCACGGTCATCTACAGTCAGATACAAGTAGCATTGCATTCATTCAACTCTTAAAAAAAAAACATTTTTTCCTTTTAAGGCTTGAGCCTGCAGACACATTAAATCGCCATGCAAATACACACATTCCACCGCAAGCAGGCAAAGAGACACCGAGATAGAAGCTGACATTAAAGAATGTTTATACGCTCTTCTGCTTATTCCAGTTTTGCGATTACGCGGTTATTTTGTTTGTCTGGACACCCCCACACACAGCACACACACACACACACACACACACACACACACACACACACACACTATCTATGTCACTTTCTCAGGCTTTTCAGGCAAAGTGAGAACGAAAGGGAAAAGAAGCCCTTTGGCCTCCAGAGGCGCCCTCAGCGTTTCCTCGACAAAGAAGGCGTTCTCCTCCTCCACCACGAACCGAAGAGTCTGGCTTTTGTTCACGCAGTAGATGCAGTTCCCGATCACGGCGCACCTGAAGGGCAAATGACTCCCGAGCCTCTGCGACGCGCAGTCGTGCCACATCTTCACGATGCTGTTGTACTTCACCACGGTGATCCCGTGCTCGCGGTTGACGTCGAAGCGATAGATGAAGCTTTTGAAGGCCACCATGTCGGAGGACTTCTTCCTGCTGTTGTTGTAGGGGCACTCCTGCCACTCGTCCCGCTTGGCGTCGTACTTCAGGAGGCGGTAGAAGAGGGAGCCCCCCGAGACGTACAGCTCGCCGCCGCAGGTCGTCGCTTCGTGGGCCACCGCGAAGGCTCCCTTGGGCAAGGGGGCCACGGCGGTCCAGCGGTCCATGCGAGGGTCGTACTTTTCCACCGTAAACAAACATTCCCCTCCAATGGCGTACAAGTAGCCGTCCATGGACACCAGCTTGAGCTGGGCGCGAGCTTGGGTCAGGGGTCGCACCTCGGCCCAGCGGTTGGTTACCGGGTTGAAACAGAAGACCTTGTCTGAGACCTTGCCCTTGTCCCCGTAGCCCTTTATCCCCCCGGCCACAAACAGGTAGTTGTACATGGTGCACATCCCGCAGCCTTTGGTGTTGATGTCCTCGGGCATTGCGGTCAAAGGTCTCCAGTCGTTTGCGGTTTCGTTAAAGTGGTAAATCATGTGACTGTCCTCCAAAGAGCCGACCGACAGAGGGCTCTGCGGGCGGCTGCTGCAGCGGCTCGGCGGCCGGCTCCCGACGCGATCGAACACGTCGTTTATCTCCGCCACCATCAGGGTCTGCCTCCCCTCCATTCGCTTCTTCAGGATCAGATCCCGCTCAGATCCGTTGAGGCGGCCGTACGCGGCGGGGTCTTTGAGGACCTGGAGGAAGTTGTCGCTCATGAAGCCGTAGGCGGTCTCCTTCAGTTCGCTGAGTCGCTGCTTTTTGGCGATGGTCAGGATCTCGTAGCAGTTCGCCGCGGTGATCTGTTCGGACATGGAGTCCATGGCCGCCTGGACGGCACAGGGCATCTGGAGGATCTTGGCCCCTGTGATCACTTCCACCACATTGCCCTTGCAAACATTCATCTGAGACGTGTAAACGTAGTCGATTAACGTGGTCAAGGTCTTGTAGCTCAAGCCCTTCACTTTCAAGATGTCCCGTGACAGCCGCGCCTTGAAGTAGTCGCTCTTCTCTGCCAGGACGGCCTTGTGGACGTCGATCTTCTGCCCGCCGACTTCGATGACTAGATCAGGCGGGTTTTGGGAATGCTTATTTACAGCTTCCTGGCTGCTGCCCCTGCGCTCTGGGTTCAACTTTAGAGCTGACCAATCGTTTTCCTGTTTGGCTCGATCAGGTGGGCAAACTGGGGAATCCGGGCTGAAAGACACTTTTGCTCTGGCGCCATTGTGGACGTCACCGCTTGCGCAGTTTTGTTGCGGGCCTCCGTTACCCTTGGAGACGCCGTACTGATCCGCCCTCGAGACGTACGAGACGGCACCTTTCTGACGGTCCACGTGGTTGTTCTCCATCAGCATTTCATCCAGCAGGTATTCCTTCCCAAACAATGGAGGAGGGCTAAAGTCCTGGTCGTCCACGGGGAACCCTTGGACGTAACTGGAGCATGAATTCCCATCGTCGTCAGAAGGTGTGACGAGGTCGGGGTTCACGGCGTGGAGGATGACGTCGGCCTCCACGGCGATTGCCCCTCCGTCCTGCCCGCGACCCGCGTTCATCCCGACGTACTCACTCGTGAATGAAGACGGCACCTTCAACGATCATGCCGGGTTGATGGACGGGCTTGTGATTGTACTCTGCTCTGTTCACCTACAAAAAGGGGGAAAGGAGGGTGTCAAGGAGGGAATTCAACCAAAGCCAAAAAGAAGAAAAAAACAAATTAGCCACGGAGCTGCAAGGGCTTTCTAATTCTCTAAGGGGGCGCCCTTTCTCCAATATCAAACTGCATATGGAAACCTTGAAGTTCAAAGGAAAACCTTTTATTCATGCTGCCATTTCCAGCCACACAGTGTTTCCTAGCGTATCATCAGGTGACTCAAACCAACTGCAGCGGCCTCAACATGCAACGCCAACTTTTGACACAAAGAAACCGAAGCAATTCCAACATGCAGCTCCTTGTAAATGTAAACGAACCGATGCGATCGTCACCCTGCATGCTCATTATGTGTGGCGGTAATCTGGAGGCATCCAGGGCGCACGCGCACATGGTGTTGCGCTGATGGGGATTAATCCCCAGTATGACTGAAAAAAAGAGGCGTCTGTAATCACACAAAAACTCTCGTCAGACGAACGCGGTGAAAACGTCCCAGTGGGTGAGACCCAGCAGGAATTACGTGAACCCGATATTAAATCAAATCGTTCCGCACGATGACAGATCGATGTGCATAGACAGTGCGGGTGGGACCTACCTGCGGCATCGGCACAAAGACGCCGGTCCGGCACAAAGCCCGGTTACGTAAAAGGCGGGCGCGATCCCGATGGAGCGGCCGTGCTGCGCTTACTTCCCCGAGAACAGATCCGGAGTGTCCCGTCCGTTCCCCGATCTCCCCCCTCCTTCTTCTCCTCCACTCCCCTCCTCTCCCGTCTTTGGGTTCAGCGGCGGAGGCGAGGCACGATCAGGGGAGCAGTCATTTCAGGTCGCGCCTCCTCCTGCAGACCGACGCGTCTCCTCCGGTGGAAGCGTGCGGAGAGACGCACCAGCTGACCGCGCCACGGCTGTGCGTTCCGTTGTGTGTGTGTGTGTGTGTGTGTGTGTTTTTGTTGTACAGTGCGCTACAGTGAGGCGGTGATCTTTGAGGGAGAGACCACGCCCCTTCAGTCGGTATTAACCGTACCCCGAACCGCACGGGCACGAGGCTTGTGCGAGTTCCCGAAGCATCCCAGAGATGCGACATTCCTTTACGCGTCGCCCCTCCACGTCCCCGGTGCCGCGTCGTGATGCGCATTAGATTTGTATATACACATGTATAAATATATTTATCAAAAATATCTGTAGAACTGACACGATCGCTGTTTTGAAGCAAACCAAACACGCTCTGGAAATACGAGTCACACTCTCCTCTTTTGGAATCATCTTTTCAGAGCAACTCCCACGAGGGGATTGAGTGCAAAAGTAACAGGTTTGTGTTTCCGCAGTGATAGAACGGGTCAGCAGCACGTGACCAGACCTGACTAGGAACAGCATGACCTCACGCATTCATCCAGGGGTCCGTGACCCCTCCCACTGGGGAGTCTTTAACAACTAGGCATCGGATATAGGAAGAGAGGGGAGGCGGGTATTCCTAGAACAAAGACCCGCAGGAGACTGGTACACAGAATCAGGGGTTTCCATGGCAACGTCAGGGTCAGGATGCAGGGGGAGGAGGAGGAGGGACAAAAGACTTCCAGGTGCTGAGCCGTGTTGATATGCGTGCAAAGGCGACACCCAGCCGGACAAACCGATACCTCGGTGGGTTCTGTGCGTTTTACTCAAAGTTAATAAATAAAAGCCGGTATTCAGTTACAGAAGTTAAATATTATCTCAGGCTCAAGTAGCTCACAATCCAGACGATTGCAGCATTGGAGCCTCTTTTGTTGTCCGAGCTAACAACGCGGTGGGACTCTGTTGTGCAACAGCGTGGGCGAAACAGGAGAAGAGGAAGGCCTTGACCCGACTCCTTCAGGCGGGAGGAGAAGTGAGCTGCCGAGGCCCCTCGGGCACATTGCTAGTCGCGGCATGCACGGACGTCTGCACACGAGCAGAGTGGAGGAGCAGGGTTAGCTCGAGTAAAGCGAAATAGAAACACTCTCCTTTCCCGGGTCTGAAACATGACTGAAGCGTTAGTCAGTAACCGGTGCTTTGTGAAAAGGCCCCAGTGTTATTTTTGTTCAGCTGGGAACTTGGAAAAAAACTGCAGGAGTTGCCACAAAACTCTGTGAAACAAAAAACAGGGTTTTATAAGTTATAAAAGACGAAAATGCATCATGAAAAGAACTGCATGCTTGCTTTGGAAAATTCCAATGAAGTACACAAGGTTGCTCAATAAAACAGTTTATGTATTTGTTAATACAAAGAAGTACATACAAATTGTGACAAAAGGTACAAAGTTTTTTTTCTTCCTTTTTTTTTTTCTTTTAAATATCCTCATGTAAGACAAAAATATTCATTGGGGGTGAAATCTCTCCTGGTGACGACAACACATTAGTTGCTTTATTAATTAAAAACCTGGCCAGCCAGGATGAAGCCTTCCCGAACAAGTTCAGCCATCGATATTTCTCCATCCCTTTTTCCTCTGTTGACTAAAGATGACCCTCTTACACCTGGGGCCTCCATAGATGCCCAACAGGCCAAAAGCTAATCTTAATTTACCCTCAACGTGACAGATTCAAAGCCCCCTTTCGTTTCCTTTCACACCTTGCAAGAGGGCATCAACACTGATTTGCATGCCGCCGTCCCTCACAGTCCGCTGGTACGGCACAAACACGGGGGAGTAATGTGTTAGCCGTGTTACAAAGCAACTAACTTCATCGGGGGGAGAAAATAAAGAGCTCTCCGCGTTCGCCCCCGTCCGACGGGCTCCGCGTGGAGCCTCTCCGTCGAGCGCTTGTATCGATCGTTTTGCTTTTTCTTCCTCGCCAGGAGAAGTCATTGGAGCACTAACGATATAGGTGAGATAGGTAGGAGGGGGCGGGTCACATGTTGAGCAAGGGGATCTGCCAGATGAAGATGGTGGAGGTGGTGTCCTCATGGCGAGACTGCTTGGTCTTTCTGTTGACCCTGCGGTGGCCGAGGCCTCCGGACACCACCAGCAGAGAGCTGACGTCCACCTTGCTGGCCCGGCGGCCCCTCCGGTGGTGGGCCGGGTCGTGGAGCACGTCGTAGAGGGCCCCGTCCTCGGGCCCGTGCTCCAGAGAGCCCTGGGACGGCGCTAGGGAGCCGCAGGACGAGGAGGACAGGGAGTCCTGGAGAGCCATGGAGGTGCAGCCCGCCTCTCCCAGCCACACGCCCCGCTGCGGGGCGGTCGGGGCCGAATCCGAATCCGAGGGGGCCCGGGGGTTCTCCCCGTCCCCGCCGTCCGTCTCCGTCGGCTGAAGTGAGGTGGGAGGGGTGGAGGCCGACGGGACCGGGGGCCGGTTGCACACGGCGGCAGCCACGCTGAGGAACTTGACGGGGCCGTTGTGGGCGTGTAGGGACACCATCCCCCGACCTGGGGACAGACACAGACCCTTTAATCCACACATTTTTCGGGACATCCGAGTGTGCCACAGTGGCGCTCGGGGGTTACCTGTGACCTTGGGGATCCCCTGCAGTCTGGGCACCGAGAGGGCCACAGTCACCCCCAGGTTGGTCCCGACCAGCAGGAGGCCGTGACAGACCAGCAGACTGCTCACCGACACTCTCTGGTTTCCTGTGGACAAAAACGACAGAAGCATAACGCAACTGTGCCCATTTTCTGCAGCGAGGGTTATTCGTCTCCCGGGGCAACGCAGGGCGAGGAGCCCGGATTGAAAGCGGCCCTTTTCAAGCCTCTGAATGCAGAAAAATGCACAATCACGTGCCCGCTCGCACTCAAACCAACAAACACAAAAGTGTTTTGTCACAGAACGAGCGGAGCGTGATGCGGTAATTAAGCAACGAGACTTTTCCCTTTTCCCTTCCCCGCTGGTCGGAAACGTCGTCCGCGATGCCGCTCTGGGCTGGGAAAAAAAAGGCGTGATTGTTAGTTCAACGGCGCCGCTCGGCAAGGACGCCGATAAAGTCAACCGCGCTTTGTTAGGTGACTTATTATGTCGAGTTCGACCCTCGCCGAAGGGCCGTCCCCACACAGAAGCTTTGTCCGCACTAAGTGAGACATTTTTATCGTCGCTTCTTACGTCTGTAATAAGAATCGGGGGATAAAAACGGCCTTTTCGGTCGCGCCATGTGGGAGGCGAGACTGTCATGAGTCATCACTGCTGCAACAGCTTGACTTGAATTTCCTCCCGCAAATTAATCCTCTTGGGGTTTAGGAAAAAAGAAATGACTGCCAGTCTCTCCGCCTGACCTCCCCTCCCCCCTCCTCACTAAAGCTGACCCCTCGCATGGGGCCGCGCACACGCCGTGCCTTCATACGTCCAGGAACCACGGGCAGATATGCAGGCCCGGGCCCGGGCCCACATGTGCTTCTGATGAGGGGCCACGGCTAGCGGGAACGCGCAGACCGCCGGTGTGGAGCTTTGCTCAACTTCCTCCTTTCATAATATTTGGAGTTCCCCACCCAAAGGGTGAACTACAATAAACCCGGAGCGAACGTCAACGCGGCCCGGCTCTCGCCCTGATCCTACAGCGGAGCGCCGCTTTGATCTGCACTTACTCCTGACAAGCAACAGCAGGAGGGAGCAGCAAATCCAGAGCGTTACCATAATACACTTGGTCTCGAAATAACTCCGATCGGCTTCGGATTGCCGCTTCAGTCCGTCTATAATACACTTATTGTACTTGTGATGCCATCGCCAAGTGTTCTAGTTCGAGCTTAACGTGCGATTCCCTTTTAGAGGACCAGTGGATCCCAATTAGTATTATTGTCCCGGTTGTCTAGTAATTTATTAATTGTCAAGGTTAATTTCACGCATATCTTAAATTCCTCATGTCAATCGTAAACATTTCTAGGGAGACAAAGTGTACAACATTGGTGATGTACAAACAAAGAGCTGGAGGTGTTATTTACTGACCCCCCCTCCCCTGATGTTTGTCTCTTATTAAGCTACGCATGGCCGACTATTTAGGTCACAGAGCAACAGACAAAGGCGGAGCGCCAGCGCCCTTCCTCTGAGACATCATCCCAACTACTCTTCTTTTACCACATTCAAACTATCTGCATTGTGATTCTCCACAACTTCTCTACTTTTCTCAAAGACCGGCATTTTATTCATATTTTGGGGCTTTTTTTTTTAATCCCTGCCCCAGTTTCCAATGGAAATGATGTTCAGTGGGTATCATCCAGTCCCACAGGAGGTCCTATAAAATAAATCCATATTCCAATGAGGAGCTCTAATGAAATGGGTAATTTCAAAGGAATAATATATATATATATATATATATATATAAAAAACAATGACTAAAACATGAGCCTCATACGATTCCTTAACAACCACCAGCTGCTACAGCAGCGTATTAGCCGTCTGTCGTATGCAGGTTAGCAGAATTGCTCCAACATGCGTCAACATGAGAAGGATTACGCCTGCATTCAACACTGAACCATCTGCAGGGGCATTCACACTGAAGGAGACGCCCCGTTGCTCCATTTCTGAAAAACGATTGTGTGTTGGGTGCCAAGATTGCAATAGGTGTATAATAAGGTGTAATATAATACACCTCTTTAACAATGCGGCCGAGATCTGAAATCAGGGGGCGTACATATATCAAATCCCGTGATTTTGGTAATGTCTTGGAGCTTTCACGTCATCTCATTGTTCATTTACTGAGACGGAAGCCCATCACACCGACTGCAGACAGTCACTTCGGGAAGGCAGCCGCAATTCCATCAGAATTTGTACAGAATCGGAACCTTTTTTCTTCTTTTTTTTGCCTCGTGTCTGTTCCACAGCAGAAGCCAGCTTTGATAAGACGCCTGTGCGGCGCGTTCTGGAAAAGCACGGATCCCAAAAGACCGCAGGAGGAGCAGCGGACAGGTGGACTTGTGGCAAACGCTTCACTCCAACATCCAAAATTTCAACCACGCAACCTCGTTGGTAATTTAAACCATCCATTGCCGTTGTGGGAGGAAGTGAGCTCCTAACAGCGAGGCCCGGAGGATGAAAGTGAGTTCGTCTGCCTCAGAACCAGCTTCCTGTGTGGTTTGCATGGGTCCTATTAGCGGTGAGCTCCCAGATCAGGCTGCTTTTATCGTCCACATCTGTGTGACGAGGAGGCCTTCCACATGTTTCTCCAGACACCGGGCATCAGAGTGAGATTCTCAGTGCGGATGCTCCCAACAGCCGTTTTCGGAGGTTTTTCACACTTAATTAGGAATTTCCTGAAGGAAACTTGAGGACCGGTGAATGCAGTGTAACCCCGTTTGCCATTGCTGCACAATGAACAACTTGTAGCCATGGATACGAAAAGCTCTCCTATGCAGTCTGTATTTAAGCCTTCACGTCATCGGATTCTGCCTTCGTAGCCGCTCCGGGAGCAAAGCGGTAGTTAAAACCGGTCGGCCAAAAGCCGACAGCACGAGATCTGCCAATCGGCTGCCGATTTATAAATACTGCTCGAGTGGGACAAGTGCCCGACGGAAGGAGCTAACGCGCTTTAGCAGATGTTTAAACAACCTCCGGACGCTCGCGTTTGTCGTTTCGCCAAACGCTTTTGCTCCCCCCTGTGAATGTTGTTGCTGCCCTGCAGCAACGAGAGAGAAGCCGCTGTGAAGACTTAAGTAGAGCAGAGCCGGGTTAATGACGCCACTTGCGACGTTTCTCAGCACGCCGTAATCCCGACTTTCTACCAACAGAAGAACAAACTACAATCACCCTTTAGGGCTGTGTGTGTGTGTGTGTGTGTGAAGCTGATGCAACGCAGCAGCTCACCAGATCCGAAGAGGCAGCAGGCCGCCCAGACGGCTTCAGCCCGGGACGACGGTCACATTTGGTTTAACGTTTGACTTAAAAAACACACCCACACACGTGGCAGGAAACCGTTGCACAATCACAACCAACGGCCACACGACAACCACAACACCGTCTGCTGCGATGACAACAGTCGCCGTGGTAACACAACCGTCAAAAAGAACGGTGAAAAAGGCGAGACGCGACACATTTTCTGCGGACCTAGCAGCTCAGCTGTGAATAAGCGGAATATTTCCATGTGATGTCATGATTCATGTTGTCTTTGTTTGGTCGTTTATCAAAAGAACGCATCAGGATTTCAAATCTGAACCGAAGTTTCCACTCGACAGAGCGTGCAGAGTTTCCTTGAACGGAATCGACGAGGTCAAAAGTTTCTCCAATGCAATAGAAGAGAAACCAAATGAGAGGTTCCCGATTCGCTGTTTAGACTGAAGGACGAGTGCGTGACAAACCTGCCATAACAAGGGCTGCGTGGACGAGGACTCGCACCGATGTCAGCCAATCACAGCGTCACAATCCACGGATGATGGGCTGTAATTTAATAATGTAAACGCTGCAAAAGCATCGTCCATCTCTGAGCTGGAGAGCATGATCTCATTCAAAGAGCGGCGCTGAAGCTTAAAACAACGGACAATAAGTCTTTGCTCCGACTCGACTGGCTCTAATGAGTTCCATCGACAGAAGGTTCTTCTAAATCACATGGCGAGAATTCTTCTGAAAGGGCCACTTTTTCCCCCAAAAAAACAGTTTCAAATGGTTCTGGGAAACAAAAACCACCTGGTCGGGCAGGATGTTAGCGTTTAACGTTCTTTTCTTGTAACATCGCAAATAAGAAGATGCCAACCAGATTGTGTTTGTCCGACCGGTAAAGTGCTGGCGTTTCATTTGCAGAGAAAAGAAAAGCAGCTGCATTCCGCCCGTGGTGCCGAATACTTGAACCATTAAATGACTTGTCCACAAACGTGCTTATCGCCTGCATGGCGGAGCCCTGGCAGCTGAGGTTCTGGGTGTCTTACCAGGTAGCGTGTTGTGGACAGGTGTGGCGATGTTAATGTCCTGCAGGTGCTCCAGCGTCTCGGTGTGGAAAAGGCGCAGAGTGGAACCGGAGCTGAAGGCGATCCAGATGCCCACCCCCGCCACCACCATGTGGGACACCACCATGCCCTCCTCCTGGTGGACCTCCAGCTGCCTCTGGATGAGGGGGGACGGGGCAGAGACACACGGGCCTTAGGCAGGACTTCTTCTGTGACAACATGACTAAAACTCCGCAGTCGACCCACAATCATTTCGAATTCTCTGGGCTTGGAGAGCAATAAACTGTCCCCCCCCCCCCCATCCCCACTGGTTACATAATCTCACCACACGCTGCTTGCATGTGGGTGTAGTTATGTTTGGCGAAGGAGAGCCTGTTAACATGCGTCTCAGTAGAATACAGTTTTACATTCTAATATGGTAACCAAGGAGCATGTCACCTTAACACATCTCAGCCATTTCCATTTATTATGCAACTACGTTACACAAGTCTAATTTATCTGTATCCCCCTCCCCCCGTTTCTGTCTCTCCGTCTCCCTCCTGTTTAACTTACACCCGGTGTGTAACCGAGTCCTCAGGGGGGGCAAAGAGAGTGAGACGGGCCGGTGCTCCGACATAATCAGCTTAATGAGGCTAAACGGATTGTTAGTGAGTGCATGTCGCGGGAACGTTACTATTCCTGTTCTCATGGCAGGTGCTTCCATTCCCTAAACCAGGCCAGAACACACACACACACACACACACACACACACACACAAAATACCATCCATATTCCGAGGAGAAAAGAACTCACAAGAAGGCAAATGAGGCACCTTCATCCAATCGAAGGTTCTTTTAGCAACTGCAAGGAAATCCTACTATCCTCTGCACTCACCTCTCCTACAGATACACAAGTGGTACTTACACCACGCACACAATGGCGTGCTAAGCTGCTGTGTGTGGGAGGTAGACGTGGTGTGTGCGTGTGTGTGTGTGATAGCAGCCCGAGCAGGGCCTCGTACCTCCACACAGTGCGTGTGGGCGCTGATGATGAAGACCTGTCCACCCGTCGAGGCCCAGAGGTGCTCTCCCACAGCCAGCATGGCCTTCACCGGGAGGACGCCCAGTTTCAGCACCGCGGGCTTTTCGCTGCTCCACAAACCGTCTGGAACGACAAACAGATTTCGCAGCATGAACCCGGAGAACAAAGAGCGGTTTAAATGCCAAACACAGAATACAGTATATATTTATTCAGATGATGAGCCCCGTGCATCTCTCTGGTACAATTGCATTCTATTTTGCAAAGCAAACCTCCCGCAATTCCTCATGCAATAGCTTGAGACGCTCCGTTCACACGACCACGGGCGCTCGGTCGCCCCAAGCGTCGCCTGAAAAGGTCGTCTGCATTGATGTGTCCGCTGCTGCCACTGGAGAGGCCATTGATGGCTCTCACAGCCTTCGCTATGAATACAGATGGGCTGCGAGGCATTAGTCAGAGCTGAGCTCTATCCCACTCACACCTCCCACACACACACTTCTACATGTGCCCGGGCCCCCGCAGCGTCGGCTCGACTGCAATGAAGTGCGGTGCCTTTATCGACGTCCACACGTCGCATTTCTTCAACAGTTGAGGTTCCCGGTCGATGGCGTCATCAAAATGAGAGCCATTGTAGGTGGGGGGGGGTGTAACAATAGGAACTATAGGTAGGAACCATTGTTCAGTTCCGTGAGTCACACGGACTGTTATTGGGGAAAACACCGCTTTGTACACGCGACGTGGAAGTTTATTAAAGTTTACAACCCAGTGAGGTGAGACCTGGAAAGGTGTACTCGTTTTTGTGATTAAGTACCGCGTTATAACAGGGGGGGGGGGATAAATATAATAGTCAATTCTACAATATCCTCTCGTATCGATAAAGTATTGCTTCCTTGATGCAATTAAATATTAGATTTTCTCAATACATCACCACATTAACATTAAAGGCCTTTAGCATCATTGGCTTTAAAATGCCCTTTTTTCTTTACTTGCATGTCATTTCGCTTTGAAGGGCCCTGTGTAAATACAGACTTCATTTCCTCCAGGTACCACATTCCCTGATCCAGATGCCTCCTCACCAACGGTGCCGCTAGGAGAAGGCACAAAGGCGGCTATTGAAGGCCGAGGTGCCACGCGGCGAGACGTGTTCCTTCAGAGGGCCACTAATGACCGGGGAAGTGAGGCCAATCTCCCACTAAGGGGGGGCGAGGTGGGACCGGCATTCCAGCAATGCCCCGTGTTTATTATTCTAACAAACGTACCGTGTAGGTAGATCTCCTCCAGAGAGAAGGAGAAACGGGAAAAGGAAAGGACTTGCAGTCTTGCGTAAGCCCGCCCACATCCCTCACTTCTCAAAGTGTAGCATTCCTTCAAGTCAGTGTCAGCTGGAAAGACCTGCTCATCACAGTGTGTGTGTGTGTATATATATATATATATAGAGTGCACAAAGCCGATCATTTCCTTTTCTTATTTGAACACAGCTCCCAAACACTCTTTACGCATAAAGCGGATGATAAGAGGTGGCAGGACAGAGTTTACGTCCCATCTCGCGGGCTGTGGCGTGTGACCTTTGCAGAGTCATTTCGCCTCCTTCGCTCTCCATCGCTCACACAGTCAAGTCTGAAAAGAAGGAGCCAGCGTGGCGGAATGAGGGGGAGGAGGGGCCGGCCGCAGACACGCTGAGGAAGAAGCGTGAAGTGAAGAAGTTCCCGTCTGCTCGTCTGCTCGGCGTCTCGCGTGCTGCCTTTCGACACGCGGCGGCTCAACGTCGAAGGAGAAAAGCCGATCATTTTCCCAGTCGTGCTTTCTCTCTTCTCAGTGAGTCTACTTTAAATGCTAATGGGGCACAGGCAGAGCTTGTCGCTGTGCTGAAGTACTCATGCAGCATTACAGCGCCGACAGATTCCCAACCAAACTATGCAGGATGACTCATTGACAGGGCAGCAACACTGGCATCCCGCGTGACACATAGGGAACACGTGTGGCTCAGGCTAGTAAAACCAGCCTCTAGCAATGGTGCCATCACAGAAGGATAGTGATACTGATTATAAGAATTATAAAAGGAGTCTGCTCTGAAATGTGTACTTATCTTAACCCACAATGAGACCCAGAAGAAGAAGGCGGACAGAGAAAATGAAACGCAGGGACAGAGAGGAGGCCCTCCGTTTGCACCACTGTGAAAGCAAATAAGAGGAGGAACAACACTGGGAAAGGGAAAGACAGAGGCCCGGATCCTCTCCTCTGATGCTTCTGGGCTCGTCTGGGACGGAAGACATTAAATAGGTCACGAGGAAGCGATTGGCTTCCCCCAGACAACCGAGCAAACGGGAACAAAACCTCAACAGAGGAGACCCCCTGACCTTCGAGCTCCACAGTGGGATTCTCACCCGGTTGCTCGGAGAAAGAGAGAGAGAGAGAGAGAGAGAGAGAGAGAGAGAGTGAGAGAAAAAGCAAAGCAGCAGAAAACGACACCTCCGATCTCCTCACAATGAGCCCTTTGTTCGAGTGCTACCAAATATTTAGACGTTTCAATTCTGCAAAATGAACACGAAATGTTCTGCACGTAATTGGAACAAGTAATTAGGTCGGCAGAAGTGTGTCGGAAGCTGTAAAATCGAACAATACAAGTTGCCAACAGGGCCCTCATTCATGGCCGCGGGTTAAAGTTGCAAAAGTCCGGACTAAATATCGAGGTAAACACGGTCAACCAGCACTTGGTTTTTAAATGAATGGGTTTCTGTTTCACACGATAACCGGACTTACTGTCCCTCGTAATTGCCTCAATTACAGCCGTTGAAGAGTATCAACAAACATCAAAATCCAGAGAACCCCCCCCATCCCCATCCCCCCCTCCTGAAACACACACCTGGTGATCTGGAGTAGACTGCCACGGAGCCGCTGACCAGGCCCACGTACAGGCAGCGCTCCTTGTACACCAGGCTGGTGACGGTGGACTTGTCCGGGCTGAAGAAGTGCTGCAGACGGACTTTCTTGCACCGTTGGCTGCTCTTGTACACGATGACGCTGAACCGGAGAGGAGATGGAATCAGAACAGACATTCATGCAGCGAGAACATTCGGACGGCAGATGCAGTTTGCAGTGTCTTCAGTCGTTATTTTCGCCTGTTTGTGTCATTTCAGATATCCTTTGAGAGTGCGAATGACATCTGCTGAAAATAATAATAATAATCATCTGAAATAATAATTATAGCATTGCTGCGTCCAAGGCTAGATTGCAGTATATTCCATTATTGACCATTAAAGTTAGTGGGTAAAAGATGTATCTCTCTCTATATAATGATTAACGATGGAATAAAAAGCTGTGTCATTTCAGATATCCTTTGAAAGTGCAAAGGGCATCTGCTGAAAATAATAATAATCATATAAAATAATAATAATGCAATCTGGCTTTGGACGCAGCAATGCTATATTGCATTATTGGCCATTAAAGTTAGTGGGTAAGAGATTTATGTCCACTATGTTGAATCTCTCTCTATAATGATGAACTATGGGGAAAAAAAGCTGGACAGATGCCCTTATTCTGCACATGCACAATTAGAACCTGACATTTATAATTTATGGATGCGTAATTAATAGCAGACCTTTTCTTAAAATGTACCAGTGCACATGGGTATATACACGATAGGACTAGAAAAGATGAAAGGTATTAGAAAGCATGCAGACGTTATGGGATGTGCTGTACCTGCCCTCCTCCATGCCCAGACACACACTGGGAGAATCACTGGCCTTCGCCGCGGGGGCGTCGGCGTTTTCGTGAATCTTGCTCTCGCCATCCTCCTGAGGTTGCTCCGCAGGGACGTAGGCCATGCAGAGGATACGGGACTCCACGTTGAAACACTCGGTCACCTTGGGGCTGGAGCTCTGCATGGCCACGATGGATATCTGGCCCATCTGGTTGGTGCAACTCGCAACCTGAAAAAAAACAAGGATAGTTTTGTGAAGAAATGAAAAAAAAATGAGACACACACACACAGCATGGATGGTGCAGTATAAGCAAAATAAAGAAAACAGAACTCAACATATAAGGATACGACTTGTGTACTCTTAGCAGTGATCACCTGCGTTCTGACAGCCTTTGTTTATTGGGAGAAAAAAAAAACGCTTTCTGAATCCATCATTTCTAAACCGGACGGTTTCTCCCAGGAGTACTTTAGAACATTTCAATCAAACAGCAAAAACCTACCGTCTGCTCAACACTGAAGAGACACATCTGAGTGAAAAACAGCCTTCTGACAAAACTAAAAGCCGGACTCACTGACGGAAAAGCGGTTGGGCTTAATTTACCTTAGCTGTTGAAAATAAGACCTCAGATTTGAAGGGAACATGAATGTCTTCCTTGTAGGTAGCTGCTGTAAACCTTGGGACCTCTAACCGGGTGCACTGGTTGAAACGTAAGCTTATACCATTGCTTGCTTCCCCCCCCCCCTTTTTAAATAAACAGTCTAGAAAAAAAAAAGGCCTCACCCAGACACAGCCATGGCCCACCACGGGAGTATCCGCCGTGCTCTCCGTGTTGATGTGCGGCTCTGGATTATGAACCGCACATTCCACCTGTCACACAACGGCAAGAAGTAAGAGAGCATGATAGAGATTGGGGTCGGACGAGCGGCAGCACACAGTGCAAGAGGGTCCAATTCAATTGGAGATTGAAACCCTAAAATGTGTCCGAGGGTTCGGCCCTGACGCCATAAATCCACACGTCCTTTCGTACTTTGAGAGGGGGGATTCTGCAGTGAGGCAGAAGCAGGACCCCATTATGTATCACGTGTCATGTGAGCGTGACACCAGCAGTAAGTCATCTAATGCCATCTCATGATATTGGCTGGTCTAATGTTTAGTGGACTGCACAGAGGGCGAAGTTCAGATTTAGATGTCGTATATGGACGAAGTCTCACTGGACTGGGAGAGATGTTCTGTGAGGGCTTTATTGCACTTTACGGAGATGGAACACACAACCCTGGCGTTCGCATCGCCGCACTCATGTTGTCTAAGCGACAGTCTCTGGTGAAAGGAAAAACGCCTCACTTTGAACTCTTGGAGTTTGGACATCACCACGGGCATCTGCCGGAGCAAGAGAGGGTGTTTCTGCTTCTTGATCTGATTCCCGTCCTCCTCAGCGAAGAACCAGCCCTGCAGGTTGTCCTCCTCTGATGTAAACCACAAACACAAGGAGCACTTCATTCGCTAATGACCAGCGGGCTGTACATGTTTCTCCATGGATTGAAACCAGTAAATGGACTTAAATGCATGTATGCACAACTCAAATGGACAAAACCGTTGAGCCGCAGGAACCGTGGCGCCGTACTGTACCTAAAGCAAGCTTGGCCATCTGCAGGTTGGTGATCCATGACTGCTTGGTGGCCGGGCTGAGAGTATTGAATACTGCGCTGAAATAGGTTGGTCTGCCCGACCTTCCGATAGAGAGGAGAAAACAAAAGCACTACGGATTAGAACAATAGGAGACTAAGCAGGCATGTTGTTGAACACCAGTCCATCCACATCTCCCTTTCTGGGTTGAATCAAAGCCCGGGGAGGAGGGGGGGGTCAATGAGCCTGCCCAGTCAATGCTGAGTGATTACACGGACTATGACAGGAAAGCAATAGAAGTCAATGGCAATTATCGTTTCTATCATATCGGCATTGTGTGTGTGTGTGTGTGTGTGTGTGTGTGTTAGGTGGGTCCTGTCTGAAATGCATCCCTCACTCTTGTCGGTGTTTTGTGTGTTTGGCGATTGACGGATCAGGGGAGGGACGACAGAAGCACAGCTGTGTTTCCAAACATACCCGCGGATAATCTCACCCGCTAGGAGCAGCAGGGACGAGGGATTCGTGTGTGTGTGTGTGTGATAGGAGACAGTGTGTGTAAGGTGGGGTGGGGGGGGGGGGGGTGGAACCGCAATGGTTCCATTGTGACAGTGTGCAAAGGCCGCACCCTTCGGGGTGCCGACAGAGTGTGAACGTGTGACATCATTGCTTAGGTTGAGCCTTTGGGTGCAAACACTGATGCACATTTCCGCCCCTGGGACTCCTGGCCTGGACGAGAGCTGCTGGAGGTGGACGCTCATCCACATTTGCATAAGCACATGGGGAGGAAGGAAGGGTGAAGACTCGTACTGGAGACTGTTGAAATCTTAGATTTGCCGTCTGTGTGAAAGATGAATTAGATGAGCAGTGTGTGTGTGTGTGTGTGTGTGTGTGTGTGTGTGTGTGTGTAACACATACTTGTCATGTTTGCCAGGCAGCTGGAGCTGGATCCTACAACGGTCAGCTGCCCTGATCTCCTCCTCCTTCTTCAGGATGAGCCTCTGGAGACCTGACACCCAATCCTGGGCCACTGCCGAGTTCACATTCTGCACGCAGGGACATCGGATGGATGCAAAGTTCAGCAAATATATGGAGAGGGAGGCACGAAAACAATCTTCAGTCAGATTAAAGTTAAACATTCGTATGCATGAAGCTGAAATGTGTGTTTTCCTATGAGACTGCATTATATTGGACCGTTTGTGGTTTTTAGTAATTTCGGTCCTCTGTGTTTGTTAACAAAATAAACTGCTGTATCGTAGAATGGAAAAATTATACATGAATAACTTAACACTTTAGTTTGACTTAGAAGATCTGTATTCTATTTCTGCTTGCCAGTCAGTCTGTGTTTGTTCCATAACACGACTGTCAGTATCATTTAGGTTAAGCAGTGTGCAGCAAACATCTCAGCACTGCTTCATCTCTGGGACACGTCTCTTACTGAGAGACTCCCGGTTACTTCTTGCTTCTGACAGACCGACCAGCACAGCACAAACACACACACACACACACACACACACGTGCTGTGCAAACCAAACCTCCACCCTAAGCACACTAACAGTGTGTGTGTGTGTGGGGGGGGGGGGGCACATGATATGACTTAAATGGTGCAAATTAAGAGTTAAGAGCCTCCTTGTCTCCCAGTGACAGATTGCCCACTCTGGCGCATTCCCCCGTTTAAACATTATGTGCCTTCATGAAGGCCCCGGGGGGGGGGGCGGGGGGGCATGAATGGGATTTTAAAAGTCCTGAGGTACGTGGGAGGTCCACTTTTGGCGAGCGTCCAAGAATATTAATAGACAGTAAAACTATTCTAACTCTCATAACACCAGAAATAAATAACATTTATGACTTTCATGCATTATATGCCTGTGTAATGACGTCAATGTTCTTTGTTCTTATTTGATTTTTTAGATGTCGTTTCCCTTCCAGACATGATGAACTGATGCTTATCTGGAGTTAATGTGATTACATTTTACTTTTATCCCCCACTCCAGAAAGAAAATGTAACCCACCCTAAAGGCACAATGACTAGATGTGTATAGAGTTCAGTGCTGGAGGTACCTGGTAGTTGCCTTTGAGGCTGTGGATCAGGGAGGAGATCTGGTTGACCAGGCTGAGGTCGTGGATCAGGTTCTGCAGATCTTGGTACAACTGGCCGGGGCCCATGTACAGCTTGTCTACAGAGAAACGCACACACACACACACACACACACACACGCGACACTTTTCAAAATGTTTCTTTCTCCAGTAATCCACCGCTTTTACACTCGGCGTGGCTTGGAATGAGTGTGAAGCTACGCTTTTGCCACAAAACTCTCATCACCTCACATCATTGGGACACTTGAGAGCCTGATTTTCACGTCACAGATAGCAGCGACTCATGTTTACAATCCAACTGTGAGCCGGAGGGAATAAACTGAGAGGCAGAAGCATTAAAAAAAGAGAAAGGCTCCGCCGTTAGAGAGACGGCTCAGTCTGATGAGGGAAACACTTTTTTAAAAAAGGGACTAGCAAGACAGAGATCGATAAAAGGTCAATCCGTCAGCGTCCCGCGGGGAGCGGTGACAGCTCTGCAAACTCTGCGATGCTGCTCAGCTTGTTGCCTCCTCATCATTTTTCGCACTCGAGCACAAAACATCAAAGCTCCCGATGCTCTGCGACGGGACGAGGCCGTGTTCACGCATGTCGAGCGAAGGACGGGTTAAACGGCATCAGTCTTTGGCATCAAAATGACATTTGTTTGCCGCTGCCCATTTCTACCCCCCCCCCCCCCCCTTTCCTTCCTTCCCCTCCTCCCCCCCCTCGCCTTTTCCTACAAAAGGCCACAGTCTGCCTGGTGCTGCGACGCCATGGCAACCCGGTCCGGTCCTCTTCTGGTGGTCTCGCACAAACGGGGGACGCTGTGCCCACATTGGTAGGTGGTCTCTGGGAGAATAAGTGAAAAATGTCCCCCTTTGAGTTTGGTACACGGGAGGCTGCTCGCCGACACAGAACCTCCCTGGCGTCCTCAGACATGCATGAGCAGCCCGGGACACAGCGGGCCCACAGTAGCGCAGAAGGGAATTGGACCTCTTTAACGCGTTGATGGATGGACGGGTCGATGACCTCTCTAATCACAGGCACCTTCGGTTCAAAACGTCACGGATCGTCACAGCCGGCGCTGCGATAATGGAGCTGTACGCAATTTTCACGGCTCGTCTCACTCAGCTAAAACGACTCGGAGGGTTGAATTCAGGTCACGGCAGGAATGCCGAATACTCCTCTCGTGTTTTCTTTATTGGCGTGTCATGCTTGGAGTAAGTGCAACTACAACAGTGTGTTTATAGGCAGTGTCAAGTAACTAAGTGCATTCCAAAGACAACTTGATATGGATCCGTCGGTATAGTTTAAAAGTCATTGAACATTTCAAAAGATTCCTGTGTGTTATCGGAGATTGAATCAGAAAATCTTTGTTTAACTCTGTGCAGACCGGCCATCAGTTCCTCCCTGGTTTTCTACCATCTGTAGCTACATATTTTCTTTTTATAGCACAAATGGCAACATGCACATTGACTGACACAAACCAAACTGGCACCGTGCAACCCATTTCATCAGGGGTCCAACTTCCTGAGAGCCCTTTGTGCGAGCGCCAAATGAGCTCTTGAACAAATGAAGCCCGGCGAGCAGCGTCATAGGAGACGCGCCAGCAATTGCACACATTCTAAAAACAAACAACATGTCTACAAATTACAGACCGACTGAGCAGCAAGAGAACTTCATCTGACATAAAGGGGATTGATTGCTATGCAGTGCAGGGAGGAAGAGCTGGAATGAGCAGAAGTGATGAAAAAGGGTGATACACACTCGTTTCCACTGGTTGACACTTTTCCCGTAGAAGGTACAAAGGTGACGTTGGTTGAGTAATAACTAAATCAGAGCAAGGTAACTAAGTGAAGGTCAACTAAGATGCTAATTCCTATGATCTCTAGTACATCTGAATCACTAAAAAAGGTGCAGCGTGCGGACTGAGCCTCAGTTGTCTACAGCCGACCGGGGATAACGGAGACAAATCACTCACCATCCCACTTCCCCTTTGCCTCGCACACGGAAATCTACATCCCAGAATAAAGACTGCAGCGCTCAGACCACAAAAAACACACGCTTTCGTCATGCCTCTGGCGTGTCCTCCAAAGCGGCTGAGCAGCTGTGACGACCGGGGGAAGAGCCCGGTGGAAAGGCTGAAGTCATTGCACTTTGGAGGCCAGCTGACCGGGGGATTGCAGAAGGAAAATGAAGTGGTCTCTCGGCGGGACTGACCCCATTTTAGAAATGTGAACGTGCTCCAACAACAAGAACCAAATCACTCGGATCACTATTGTTTCTGCAATGATCAAACGCAGTGTTGATATCAACATATGGCCTAGCTAATGTGGTCCTGCTAATAGTGCACTCTATCCTTTTCCACCAGACCTTTTGTCCCCACTGCAGCAGAGGAAGAAACAGCCCACTGGTTGCAAATGACGCAAATGACCCAATGTGACACTGAGGTTCATACTTGGCTTTGCATTGATGACCACCTTCTCCCCGGAATGGGACGCTGGGTAGCGACTGCTGTCGGCCATGTCCTCGCTGGATCCAAACTCCAGCACTTCCACGAAGCTCAAAGGCACGCTCCACTTGAGAAGGAACTTCTGGTCGAGCGGGACGTTGCCGCTGCCATCCGGACACCTGGACAGAGCCCAAAGAGACACGTGACCCTGGACACCCAGCTTGTGGAGAAGAATGTCTCCTTGGCATCGTGCGAGGAAAGGTGATAGATTAGTAAGGCGAATGTCACGCATTTAGAAAACAGTGCATGTTACCCAGTGGCCGTATGTGGTGACCATCATGTTACAATTACGGGACTGAAGCTACAGATACAGAGGGGGTCCCCATCTACGCTTCAGACCGTTCCTTAAGGGTACCGTACAACAAAAGCTATGACACAAATACACAACAATATGTTTTCTAAATCTGTAAAATGGTAAAGAAAAGACCCGAGGACGGGAGAAGGGACCAATGAGGAGCAGGTCAGTCGTACCGGACATTGGCCGTCGCACACATGAGAACGTCGTTGAGCAGGAAGAGGCGTCTCTCCTTGGTTTTGATGACTTCACCACGCTCGTTGTAGACAGTCTCCACCATGTCGTCGGAGCGGATCAGGTAGCGGCTGCCGTTGCTCAGGAGCTTGAGGGATGATGATGATGATGATTGATACCGTACAGAGACCAAAGAGCGCTCACATCTCACTCAGCTTCAGTTTGGGTAACAGCACATAGTACGCGGCTATCAACAGAGACTATTGACAATTAAAGGCCATGAGGACCAAAACTCCACCGCCCCGTATAGGTCATCCTGCAAACACACGTTTCTAAACAGATGTCAGAGTGGGTGGCTGCTGACTGACAAACAACTACACCTTGGGGTGAACTGCTATTGTGTGCAAATGTGAAGAATCCCACGCTAACATATGCTATTCAGGCAAGACAATACTTGAAAAAAATAAAAATAAATGTGACGCTCAAGTCCCGGACGGCCGCCCACACTGGGACAGAGAGAAACGCCACAGCACATGCTTTCAAAAACTCCCACACCGTCAGTCAGAATGCGTGTACTGACTGAGCAGCGAGTAAGTCGTCACCTCGAACCTCCCAAATCTCCCGACAACCGCTAGAACACACGTAGCCGCACCTTGTTGAGGTAGCGTTCGTTCATGGCCTTCGCAATGTGGCGGATCTCGCAGCGCTGGTCGGCTTCCCTCTTCTTTTCGTTGAGCTTCTCTGCCAGTGTCTCCAGTTCAGCCAGGGCCATCTGCAGGGGCAGGCGGTCGGCGTGGCCCGCCGGTGTGTTCTTCAGCATGTCCTGGTGAGGACGCACAGAGAGGTCGCACAACTATACAAACATCTGCGTAACGGTGTCCAGTGGCATTTGAGAGAATGCAGTCTCTTCCCACCCTTTTCATATATATAATTATATATTACGGTTTTCTGAAAAAGCCATAGGAAAAGATTTTTAAAAGTTCTGTGGAAATGATGTCCCCCGAGGCGACGGGAACGTTGAAAAACAAAGGGCCTCAATTTATGTGTGCGGCGCTCCCTCTGCTGGTGGAGGAGCGCACTGCGGTCACAGATTACAATAACATGAGAATTCCTCCAACCTGAAGGAGCAGGATGAACTGCGGGAACCTCTGGATGGGTTTCATCATCAGGCCGTACAGAGTCATCCGGTCGCTGCTGGTCTCCTGGCGATGCTGGCGGGGAGAAGACACGAGTTTTGGATAGAATTGTTTAGCATTTATCCGTTATGTGTATTTAATGTAATTAGCAGTCTTTAGCAGAACCACGGGCAAGAACTGAACGGTTAAAACATTCCGACGCCAGACGCTTTGTGTTGAAAAGGTAAAGATCGCCGTGACGCCGTCTCCGCGTTTGTCTCTCACCTTGAGGAATTCCAGGAAGCCGGGTTTGGAGGCGCACGTCTTCCTCACCACGGCCATGGCGGTGCTGAAGTTGTTCACATACTCACTGTAGGCGTCCAGCAGCATGGACTTTGAGAACTGATGAGGAACACGGATGTTTAAACTCATTAAAGTTGGGTTGACATCTTCTTCAAAAACACATCTACTTTTTTTTTTTTTTTTCTCGAAATAGTGTTACCACATCTCACACGCTGCGATAAAGAAATGAAAAGCGGTATCTGTTGCTCCCAGGACCGCAATAAGCCGGTGTGCTGTTGTTTTATGACGGGATATGAATTGGGAGGTGACACAGGGCAGCGAGCAGACGTCAGATGGGTCTCACTGCTCCTCTGAGCTGCTGCCAGGAGTCAGTTTTTGTACAAAACAAAAGGAAGTTGTGAGCCGGACTGTGGAAGACGAGCTCCTTTGTTTTGAGGATCCCCGCCTCGGATTCACCGAGCGGGAGCAAGGTGGACTACATGCTGCAATTTGTGCATCTGCAGGAGAACACGACTCTTCTACAGCGAGGGAGCTGGTCAGAATATCAGTACACTATTCAGGCAGCTGGCTTACTGATGCGACGAAGACATCCCCGATCATCTCCAGGCTGTCCCACTCGGCGACGCGGCTCGCCAGGGCGATCTGGAACAGGAAGTGGCACTGCAGGATCTCTCGCACGCGATAGAAGGTCATCTTCAGCTTCCTGTCGCTCAGCAGCCTTGGCTCCAGCTGGGACAGGGGCTTCTCGTATTGCTGGCGAGGAAGACAAGGTCAACTGCAAGTAACAAACACCTCAAAGTGGAGACGGCCATCGCCGCAGCCGCGTACCTCCAATATCCTCTTCAGTGCGTCGAGATAGTTCTTCTCGCTCTCCAGTATTGATCCCAAAATACATCTTCTCACCAGCTGTGGAGGAAACACAGCGGGGTCTTTATTAGTTTTCTTAAAAACAGAAAAAAAAAAAAAAAAAAGAGTTGCAGAAGTTGGGGTTAAAGTTGAAAGGCGTGTTAATCACCTGTTGCTGTGAAAGACCCGGCGGCGGGGGACACAGCACCGGCTCAACGTTGAAACAGTCCACCTCGATGAAGAGCTCCGACTCCTCATCCTCCAAAAAGACAGACTTCCTCTCTGAAAGACAAAGACGGGTTACCTGACAGCTGTTACATAATCATACATACCAATGATACAAATGGCACATACCGTGACAGAATGACTTGGTTTTGATGAAAGAGCGTCCCTTCTTTACTGCAGCTTTGGTCTTCTCAAGTCCGTCTTTGGTCCCTTCCTTAGCGGCTTTCACCAGCTTTTGCATCTTTGACGGAGACAAAATAAACCATCGGCTACGTCGCAGAAGAAACACGAGGTAGACGCAGTATTTGTCTGCTGACGGGAGCAGTGTTAGAGCAGGGATGAAGAGGAACGGCAGATGGTGTAATACGGGAGAGATGAGTTGACCAGAGGACGACGCAGGAAGTGGGACGTCGGCCGAAGGGAACATTTGACACGATAAATACAGAACGACAGGTTTCAGCTACTTTCAGTAATAAAAAACAACAACAACTCAATCGCTTCACAGCCTCCCGATGCACAAACATATAACGACACAAGTAAGACGGGGAAGCAAAAGGAATCGAATGCAAACCCACCACCACAAGTCATTCACATCAGAGCGAGGTTACCGAGAGACGCCCAGAGTGAGAGTTAAGGGTCGGGACTACGGTTTAGCACACAGGCAGGTGAGCGGAGCCTCAGGTGGTTTACCTTCTGCTCCTGTTTGTGTTTTAACTGCTGCAGCTCTACCGTTCCCACTGCATTTGCCATTAGATCTTTCATCCTTTTCTCATAGTGTTCTTTCAAGCGTGTCAGATCTTGAGAGAGCTAAACAGAAGCAAAGCAGGCGTTACTGGTTGTGGTGAACGACCTCCAACCTAAAATCCACCTTTAATCTCCACATGTGTGTCGATGGACAAATAACCCCTGTCCAACAAGACTTTGTTAACTAATATGAACTGGGAATCATGGGGAGAAATGTCATTTTCCGAAGAGCATCGCTTCCCTTGATCTCGTGTCCGTGGGCCTGAAAAATTAACTTATACACTAACCTGACAGCAACGTGTTTTTTACGGCTGAATTCATACGTATCCATTCGGCAAATAAAAACGTACTTAAAAAGGATTTGGTCTGACGCAATCATTAACATCCAAACTTTCTGTTCTGTGAAAACAAAAGTGAATCTGAAACCTCAAAACCACGTTGCAAAACATCCCAGATTGCAGAACGTTGTAAACCTCAAATTATCTTTCTACAGTCTGCAGCGACAAAGTGCACGATCAAATAGACTAAATCATTGAAAATGTCATTCAATAATAATATATTTTTTAAAAAGGATGAGAGGGCATCACGAGAAGATTTGTTTCAATCTAGAAATTAAACTTCCAACTGAGTTACTATCAGTAGAGATGCACAGGGGAGAAGACGAGACACAAGCTCCCTTACTAATCAACTATTTCAAGCACAAAATTACAAATAACAGAAACGCGCTTCATCCACAGGTGTTATCCACCCACCTGCAGACGTACAGTGACATTGACAGCGGGTACGTGCTTTGCCTGTTAATCTGACAGACGAATGAGTGCGATGGCTGTACACACGTGGGTTTTCCCCTGGGGGGGCTTCCCTCTCATGTAGGCGTGCGGCAGGCCGTTCTCGGGGCGACCTTCGCCGTCGCTGGCCTCGTCGTAGCTTTCGAACTCGCTGGAGCTCCAGCCGTTGTCGAGGGAGCTGTCGCCGCCCTCGCCGAGCTCCACGTCGTCGTAGATCATCTCGTCGGGGTCTGAGAGGGGGAGCGAGGCGGCGGGACCCCCGCGGAACGACGCGTAAGGTTATTGCCACGAACATAAAAGACGACAGGCTGAACAGACAGGAACAACAGTCGCTTCGTTTGTCGATTAGGCTGGTTATGGTTTATTTTTTGGATTATTTCTTTCCCAAACCTGTGTTGGAGTCAGAGTTCTCTCTCGGCACGTCATCGTAAATCACCTCGTCTGGATCTGTGGCGTAAAAAGCGCCGTTCACAACCACTATAGCGTGATTTCACACAACAAACAGGATGCATTGTAGAAAGGATCTAAAAAAGAAAAGCGCACAGTGGTCCGCTTCCTCAAAAGAACAGGGAAGGAAATGTCTGGGAATACAGCAAATAGCACCCCCCCTCACCCATGAAGGAAGGCATGCAGTGTGTGTGTGTGTGTGTGTGTGTGTGTGTGTGTGTGTGTGTGTGTGTGTGTGTGTGTGTGCGCGCAGAGGCAAGTACAGAGAACTGAAACAGCCGCGGCTTTCTTTCCACGGAGGTTATTCACGCCTCACTACAAGCTGTGCGATTGCGGCGGGACGTCGTTCCTTACTGTCCATCCACGCTGTGTTGGCGGGATCGGAGGCCCATTTAGCCAAAGCGTCCTCTTCCCGAACAGGCGGACTCGCTTCACTGCAAAACAAAACAGACTAAATTATAACTGTGCGAATACAAATACAACCTTCCAGAGGCGCTGTGGTGTCGGGATGGTTTACTTAATATACGTATTAATATAACGGACACGGCCATGGACCGACTTGTGTTTCATGTATGTATGTATGCTCGGCATTCTTCTCTGAAGACACAGTCCTAAATGTGCTCCAATGACTGGTATGGACTTGCTCCAGCTGTTTAGTCACGTACCCGTCCACAGAGGTGCTGCCGGCCCCCACCACAGCGACTGAGGGTGGAAAGAGAGAGAAGTCATTACTGGAGGACAACCTCCAGACACGTTACCTCACATTGCTGTTCCTCAGACAGGCAGAAAGCAGAAAGATGTCACGTGACTCATTAATGAACCCCATCAGACCAAATAAGGATCCATTTATTTGTTTGAATACATCTAATATAATTGTTACAAAAACCAGCTCACTGAATATTCAGCAAATGCAAATGACCTGTGAGATTTTAGACTTTTCCTCGTGAGCCACCAGGTGTCAGTAATGATTGGGTACCACCAGCATTACCTTTAGATTTTGTTTATTATTCATGTGCTTGCACAAATTTCAGTTCATAAATGTACCCAAACATAAAAGCTCCACGGTGTGATGAACCTTCTGGGAACGTGTGACGGCAATAGAGAAGAGGCCCTTGCTTTGCATACACTGCGAACGGGTAAAATGAATTTCTACATCACACAAACACACACGTCTATGACTCTCCAAACTCGTTTGCTGAAAAATCTCTGTTTTCCATCTGCTGTGACCTTGGTAAGATAATGACCGTGTAATCAGAACCCTCGGGCTCAGCTCTTGCTCCGTTTGAAGGAAACCGGAAAACCCTCACAGCCAACACAGATCTTTGGGGAGGGCTAAATTTAGTCCCTACTTCCTTGTGCCAAGGCTTTAGGAAAAACAAGGGAAAGCAGAAAGGAGAGCGGATGGAAGTGGCCTGAGGCAGCATGTACGTGTCATTGCATTGTGTCTCCAGGCCTCAGTGCAGTTTCTCTTCACTTTAGACCTTTTAAAATAAACAGCGGTCAAGCTGGTGGTTAAACTACGATTAACTAACTAACGCTTTACCATCCTCATCCACGGAGAGGTGGCGAATGATGACGGGGGTGGTGTACGCCGGCGTGATGAGCGGCACACCGGAGGGGGTGGCGTAGCCGCAGGGCACCGGGGCAGGGTGTCCTGGGGGGGGGCCAGCGGGGCCGCTGGGGATGTCCTGGGGGTCTCCCTCCGGTTCCTCGGGCTCCGTTGGCGAGTTGGCAGCAGAGGAGGGTCCATGATGCTGCTGCTGCTCAGGCGGCTGCAGTTGCAGAGGAGTGATGTCGATCACAGAGTAGGGGTTGACTTTGCCCCGGGGGGAGCTTTTGGGGACGGCCTGGCGGGGGTCACCGCTGGACGCATCCTGGACCTCACCGCCTGGTGGGGGACAGAAGATACGTCATAAAACACCAAGGCAGGCACAGAGACAATGAAACGATAATTGATTCATTTGTTTCATTCCATTAGATTTAAGTTGCATCACCAGTGAGAAACTGATAATGGAGAATGTTCATTATTATTATTATTATTATTATTTATGAATATGGGAGAAGAGAAATATCTTTGCTTCCATCTTGGTTAGACACTATTTAGGTTTTAGACCATTGGAGAGGACGCTGTGCTGTCGTTCTGGAGGAGCCTTTGCAAGCAGGACACAGACGGCCAACCAAATGACAAAATGCTTTGGGGTGCAAACCTGTTCCTCCAGGATCTGCCTCTGCTCCGTCCTCATCGAGAGGAGGGGGTGGAGGCAAGTCTGTCTCCGTGTCACCAGACGTCCCGTCCCCTCCTGCTGCGGTGGATCGGCTCGTGGCAGCTGTTGTGTCTGCCGCTGACGGAGCTGCGTCGGCCGGGGACGGAGGCGCCGGTGGTGCCGGGCTGGCGAGGCGGCCCTCGGGGGGACGGACGTCCCGGCCCCCGTCCGCGCTGCCTGCAGCGAGGGGGGCCGGAGGTGCGGGGGGCGGGCAGTCCGCTTCGGGGACGTTGTCGTCGCCGCTGTCGTCAAAGTCAAAGGCTTCCCCCTCATCTTCATCGGCGTCGTCCGCCAACACTGCAAAGAGAGACGGGCTTCAGAGGGACGCGTCGCTGATCCACAGAATATCAGATATCAGAGAGGTCAGGGGTCACAAAGACATGATAAACATCCGTCATCTGTCAGGACTATCTTCCATAAACACTATCACGAAGGAATTCCCCCAAAATACCAAAACTGAGATAATGATATATTGTCTTCTATCGTTATATATATATATATATATATAAAAACTCTAAGGTGAACACAGACATTTAGCACCACGGGCCATTTAAGGTGTACAAAATAATCTGTACGGGTCACTTTCAACAATGCACAGTGATGACTTGAATACTACAGAAGGAAGGAAGAAGACGTTTTATTAATAACGTAAGAAAACTACAGCCACGGTATGTGAAACGTGAGCCATCAAGCAAATTGTTAATAAAGTACTAATTTCTAACCACGGCGAGTAGACGAACGCTCAGCGTGGAGATTAGCTTTGACTAATAGCAGACAGGACGTTGATGACGTGAAGGGTTATTGTATGCTTTTCAGGATTTGGCTAAACATAAGTGCAATGGAGGCTGGATTTAACTCTATGATCATATCATTTGAGAGATTGTTTACAGATTCACTGCGGGTGGCACTTTGAGTCCTCGGGCTGCTCAAGTTAAAGCACTGAGCCCACAAACAGACTTATAATTAAAGGAGGGGTCTGCGGCAGCGCCACGTTTTCTTACAGGAACTCTTACACCCGTGGATGAGATCGGGCAACGATGCAGCGCGCCGGCTGCTGCACTTCACAGCAACGGCAATAAAAAATAAATTAAAAAAAAAGTAGGGCAGAGCTCTCAGTGAACGTGCTGCTCACTCGGCAGCAGACAGGAAGGGAACAACAAACCTCTCTCTCTAGTTTCCACACTGCAATTAGGCCGGCAGGAGGGAGCGCTGGTACTCTCTCCAGCGACTCAGCGCAGCCTGAGGTTTGCATTGTTTCCGATCTGATGAACAGAGCGTGGGGGGGGGGGGGGGGGGGGGGGGGGTCCGTAGAGCTCAAAAAAAGGAGCAGGAACGGGTTAACGGATTAGGAATGCAAAGGCTCGACTTTCACCAGGCTTCATGTTTTGGCCCTGAGCTGAATATCTAAATGACAGTTCTTCAGGTTTCATTCATGGGCAAGAAGGAGGGGGAGAAAAAGGACTGCGGCAAAGAAAACATTCATTTAGCATGAATTCAATGTTGCGGAAGATATTAAGTTGCGTCCTTAAACTGGGTTCACAGAAGGACAGACAGAAAGGAAGGAACTCCCAATCTCACCGTTTAACCCGCCGGCTTCTTAGGAGGATATTCGTTGTCACGGTTCTGCTCCCGAGCATACCGCAGATTCTTTGAGCGCACTTTCATCAGGAGTCCCAGCGTGGTTGAATTAACTTCCAATCTAAAAAGGCCTTATTCTGATATCTCGTGTTCGCAAAGATAACAAGAGGATTTTAAGTTTGCACAGGTGCCTTTCCAACAGGAATGAATCAGTCGTGTCAAATTTTGTCGAAATAGCTCAGTTGAGAGTGCGTTAGACCCAAAAAAGGTCCCTGGTTCGAATCCGGGGGAAACTGCATCTTAACTTTCAACCCCAATCTAACTCTGACCGAGAGATGAAACCTCCTTAAACCTTCATTCTTTTTGACACAAATCAACATGCAGCATGCTTTTCCAACATTTACAATGTCAACCTGAGCATTTAGGCCTTTGAAAGATCTGCAGATAAGGCCGTTCTCACCGCCTAAATAGGCCCCCGGGTCCGTTCAAAGTGGCCAAAGTAAATCTTAAACTCAAAAGGCAGTAACTTGGAAGTCCCTCGCTGCAACATGCACATCCCTAAATCACCAGTCCAGCCGCCTCGGGCTTCGACGGGTAGTTGTTCCACCCTGTAGCAGCAGCCTGTGACTAATGCTCCGGGTCGACCCCGTGTCCATCTGCGCCCACGACTTTCCATGAGAGGGGTGCAAGAAGAGACGCTATCTGTCTCTTTCCATGTGTGCGATGGTGTATGGTAAGGACACGGAGATAAGGCCCAACCAGCTGGCTAACAGTCAGCACGGCCGTATGCGTGCGTACACACTCATGTGCTTGTGTTGTGATGTGGAGGCAGATCCTGCGTGAAACCCTCGACTTTGACGGAGTACGACAGAGCTGGATTAAAGCAGCTTTGGCTCAAAGCGACCAGCCGCGTGCTAATGGGACCAGCGGGCTTTATGGGACCAGCGGGCTTTATGGGCATTGCAGCGGTTCCAAGTTCAATTAGTGCAAAGACAACGAGACATGAGCTGAAAACGACGCTCGTCCCACTCAGCCGCTGAGGATTGGCGTGAACGAATGGCGACCTGAACGTGATGCACAGAAGAAGATTTTTCCAAATCTCTGTTTCTTTCGTTTTAGGGAACTAAATGGTTTGCATGCCTGCAGCTTATTTATAGAGACTGTGCTGCTGATGGATGTCGACCGGACTACAATGATTACAGTGTAAGATACACAACACTTTCTGCCCATTACGTGAGAATCTTATAGGAGCTCTAATCTACATTCACAAGCACAACAAGAGAGGATTTCTCTCTTCTTACACGCACTGTGACTCCCACACACACACACACGCACCCTTGCTGAGGTGCCCATTGTCAATTCATAAAAGGCCGTATGGATTCTGCTCAGCGGGCCCATCTCCACTCCACTACATAACAGTCAGCTCGAATGAGTCACCGCGTTACCATCCGTTCGTGCATCGCCCCGGCAACAAAGCAAGCGAGTGGCCAGCAGGAGACGAAGCATTTCTCTGGCCCGTGTCAATCCCCGGAGGCGGCGCGTGAGTGTGTGCGTGCGTACCGTGCGTGCGAGTGAGTGAGTGTGCGGCAGCGGTATTCAGCATATTACTGAGGCACATTGTCTGGTATTCACGGCACATTTTACCCTCCTCGCTCCTCTGCCCACACACGCTCTCACCGAGCGGAGGAGGAGAGGAATCCGTGCCGTTTGCTGATACGGTCCGGCTTCAGCAGGCCTCCAGGAGGTGATGTGACCACGAGATGACCTACAGAAGCCGGCACGACGCGGAAAGATGAGGTAGCGCTAGCTAGCTAGTTGGCCGTGAAAGAGTTTCATGTAGGCTACAGTGACGGGGGGGGGGGGCTTTATATAGTATCATTAACTATATAAAGCCCCCTATTATTACATTGAATTGCTTTTTTTTCCCCGTATGTGGATCGAACACGCCACCATGGCGTCATTAGCATCACGCTCTAACCAACTGATCGGCCTCATGTTTTGTAGGAGTGTGTGAGTGTGTGTGGGGGGGGGAGGGGGGGAGTGACACTGCTTAGTGGCCTTTACTTTCAGGAGGCGGGGGAGGAAAGTCTTCCACGTCCATGCTTTCTGCTCTTCTCCTGCTCGTCAGCCAGCGGCATGTAGGGGATCAACTACGCCGACACACATTCCTGCAGGGAAAAGACAAACGTCGTAAAATGTCACACTCGGCGGAGTTGATACACAGTATTTTCCTAATGAATCCAGCATTGAAGAATCTTCAGCGGGGGGGGGGGGGGGGGCTTTGAGCGCCCGTGAGCCTCCGAAGGCGCAACCACGCCACTTGTTCCGTTCCTACGTCGTTCGAGCGCAGCGGCCATTTGTCAGCGGCCATTTGTCAGCGGCCGGGGGCACGGGCTGGGACCTTTTGGGTCAACACCAGGAACCGGAGCAAAAGGAAATCAAAAAAAAAGAATGGACCCAAAAGGGGCCCTCGCGGTGCCACCCCCCCCCCGGGGGGACTGTTGACACGGCCACAGGTTGAAGTGTGCTCACCGGTCTCCTATGCTAATTGTGGGCGTGTGTGATGTCACGGGTATAAAACGGGCCAGGCTGCCATTGTGGTCGATCGATGCCCCGTGGAGAAAACCATCATGAATAGAAGGGCGGTGGGAGGAGGGGGGGGGGCGGCGAGGAGGGTCATGGCATGCTCTTGTTCAAATTTGCACCCGTTTATCGGGGTGATTCACGCACCAATTGATTCAAAGCGAGTAACACGTGCATCCCTCAAATATCTTACTTGGTTCAAACGTAGATCTGACTGTTCTCATTGATCACCCAAAGTTTTACGACGCAAAACCCAAGTACATTATTGAGTGTGTAGGTTTCCCCTGGTGACGGTAACATACTGCAGTGTGTAGGCGCCACAGAAGGCGCAGAGGTCAACGTGTCCTTTGGGCAGCGCGGGGAAACGCCATCGGCGTGCTGAGGCAGGAGAGACCTTTGGACCTGCACGGGCACGAGAGCGTTGCATTCCTCAGCGGCACGGCCTCCGTTCGTATCCAGGAGTCACCGTTTCTGTCGCTCTGCTATTTTCAGACTTCTTGAAGGAGTCCGGTGAACAGATGACAGAGTCATGACATCACGCAAGTCGCACAAAGCCGCCATTGTTGCCGGTATGTACGCCCCATAATCTATCCGTGCAATACGAGCCACGAGATGACTCAAGTCCACAGCGTTTAACCTTGGGAGTATTAGGACACACCTGCACCACAGTTTCAGCAAAAAACACCTCAAAAAGGATGAGTCATTTACATCTAACGGGATACATCATTGGCTGAAAAATAATGTGAAATCCTCCGTTCCTTTGTCCTCCGCCCTGTCGGCGGGGCACAGGGCCAGAGCATGTGAACACACAGGGCCAGTGTCTGCTGAACACAGCAGATCATGCTAGTGCGAAGCGACAGAACGAGAAGAGAACTGAGGAGAAACGGCCAAACACAACACAGCAGAATCCCAAAACAGACGGACAACAGCAGGTACGACGATGAGGAGGAGGAGGCCCTCTTTAGGTGGATTTCAAACAGGCAGGAACATGACACACGTGGTTGTACATTTCGGAGTGACATCTAAAGGGCCGAGCCCCGACTTTGAAGGGTGACTCATCCCTCCGGTTCAAGTGCGTTGCTTCGAAGGTCGAGGACCGGAGAGGAATCACCACGCTTGGCACGTGCACGATCACGACTCAACCAAAAGCGCTCTCCGTAGCGTCTGCAGCATCTGCCGGCAATCGCAGCACACGGCAAGCACTGAGAACAGCATGTCGTTCCCACCGCAGCAGGTAGAGCTCCCAGGAAAATGTACGCCTGTGACGTCGCGAATATGAGGCTCGTCTGTTACGGTCTCAATCTGAGAGCAATGATTGGGAACCGAGTGGACGTGGAATCAGCTGTGTAGGTGGCGACAGACTCGGCTGAGCATGTCGTTACACGCTGGGATACAAGTTGTGCTCGGCGGATTGGAAAAAGAGTTTCAATTCGCCCAGCCGGTGTTTTTCTTATAACCCATGCGACAGACAATAACAAAGATCTAAATCACGCCGACGGTATGTGCGGCCACTCATAAAAGGACAGAAGAGCACTTTGAGTCGCTCATTCCAGCCTAGAAAAGCTTGGTTTGAAGTTTAAAAATGTGCTTTTAAGCTTATAGTATTATTTAAATGAATCAAGGCTGGCTGAGCGGCCCTGACGTGCGTTTTTCCCGCAACATCACTTTTCTCCAAAATTGATGATAATGCACAAATTACACATCTTCTCCATCACGGAATGATTGACAGGCAGACACGTGAAGCAAACATGAAAGAAAAAGGTCTTTCATCTGAATACTCTTGTAACTTCCCAACCAGCGTGTTAATAAAAACACTAAAACTGTTTCAAACTGTCCAAAAATGCACCACCTATGGCACATAGAGGAGTCGAAAATGATTAAAGAGTGTTTATGAGAGCTGTTCTACATCAACCTCCCCCCCCCCGGTTCTGCAAAGTGTTTTAGATTCCTCTGTAGTGTTTTCTGGGGCGCACTGAACAACAAGTGGCATTCCACACGCGGGCTGAAAGTCATAAACAAAAGCCTGGAGGAGGAGAGCCGCTGCTACCAGCGAGCGGTCGGCCTTTGGCTCAACGTTTCATTGAGCGGCGAGTCCCAATTTTCTCCTTCTGGCAGGATTACAGTCGTCAGGCCTCCGAGCGAAAAACACAACGCGTCTCTGGCCTGCAAAGGGAGCGCACGGACGGGCCCCAAGTACTTTGAATGAAGGGGAAAAAGAAGACACAGCGAGAATTAAAGAGTTAAAACGGGTTGAGCTTCTAGGTCATACGAGGGTTTCTCACGACACCCTTTAAGAGAACTGAAAGTGGCAGCGACGACGTGGGGTCCATCCACTGCGCCGGGTAGAGCGGCCTGTTCCCCTGACGCCTGAAGGCTCACACGGTATCAACCTCGCTAAAACTGCAGAGTACCACACATCTGGCCCGACCGGCCTTGAAAAGCCACACGTCCCGTCACCGGACCTCGAAAGAGGTGGAGAAGCTCGGAAGACAGCGGAGTCTCAAAATCGAGACTCCTGACTCAAAGCGTTGTTTTATTAGATCGGCGAGGGACAAATTACAACCGTATTTATGGACATATTGTGACAAAAATCACAGCTCCGCTTGCACTCATGATTAAATGTCCTTTCTGTAGCAGCTACTGGTTATAATTAAAGGCCTAATGGGAATGGATCGCGCCGAACACACTTCAATAGATCGGGCCTGCGGGGGTGCAGTAGTTTTATTTGATGTCCGAGGTGGGACGTATTGGACGTCTGCATTCAGCTACACGCTGTGCAGGCATGTTTTCTAAACAGAATGTGGTCAGCGAGAAGTTACCACAGGGACTCACCGCCGCACAGTGTCATCCACCACTTAATAGTTGGTGACATACCGTTACAATGCATCACAAAACGTTCTGACAGCCACGTAGAACCCGATGTGTTTCAAAGTGAACCCAACTTTAAGGCCACATTTGTTTTTTTCCCCAGTAAAAGACAGAAAATAGGCGAAGCTGCGAGGCCCCTCGCAGCTTGGAAACAACAGGGCAGAATGAAAGGACGCGTCTGGTATGTGAGCAATTCCATTCCAATTGCCATGTCCCCTCTCGGTGGGTCCTCGTTGGCGTCCACTGGGGATGGACAGTGAATCAATAACTTGCCTCTATAAAAGAACCGCTGGTACGCTCATCTGATGACATGACGACAGATGAAATTGAAAGGATGCTGCGATACGGTCCCGCTGGGCGTGTGGAGAAGAGACGGATTGTTTCTGTCCCGGAGGTGTCTGTGAACGTCCACCCTGCATAGTGCTGAGGAGAAAGTGTCCCAAATAAAAAAGGAGGCTGGAATCGCTGTGGTTTAGAGCAGGAGTCAGAGAGGATCCGTGCTCTCAGGAAGGGAGGGAGGGAGCTGGTAAGCGTCTGTGTTTGCAGCCGGGACACTTTGGATATTTGCTTAACAAATTACCAGCGGAGATTGTTGCGTACACACACGTGTGCGTGAAACTAAATGACGATCAAAGGCAAAATGGTCATATTCAAAGTGTTTTTGGAAGCTTAACTCAGTAGTTTTCCTGAAAGCCGCTTGCCTTTAGCTGTGAGGACTGGCAGGTAAATGGTTTGGCCCCCTTGTGCTCCCACTGTGCAGACTGGTCTTCCAGTTGGCTGAAGCCGTGCAGGGCTTTGGCTCAGGAATGCTATGCATGACTACTTGGACGTGTAGTTGTTGCAGCGGCTCAGAAGGACATCACTGCACGCGATGACCCCTCGGGGCTGGTTTTACTTTCCACGTGTAGGGCAACGCGTTATCGTGCACCTGCATCCTTGAAGAGGGACGAAGGGTGCAAGAAAAGCACCGAGACATCAACGCGTGTCATGACGCGTAAGGAGTAAAAACAACAACAACAACAACAACATTCCAGGCACGTCTGGCAAGCAGCTTGCTGGTGTCTAGATAACGTCGCGGTAATCGACGTAGACATAGTTGACGTTATCTAGGAAGTTGGCAACAAGTTAGCGGAGGCGCCACGTTATAGTCGTCTCCCAACTTTATAGCCACGTCCCACCGCAAAGACAGCAATGCGCCGGTACTTGGCGTTCCGTTTGTGTCACGTATCACGACTGACGGAACTGCTGAGCGGAAACTAGCGTCAACAGCTGGTTGAACATAGAAACTAACGTAATATGTTTAGGGGGGGAAATAAAACTGTGTGAGAAAAAAAAAGTCCTCAACTCACCATTTTATTGACTTTTCCACTGAAAAAAAGAATATCCCTTTCGCGGTAACCCCCCGCAAGTGTCAAGCGCGGTGCATTTGTGAGTTAAAAACGGATTAAAACACATCCAGTGCTCGCCCAGTGTCCTTCTTTTAACTTTACTCACTTCGATGCGAGCTGACTCCATCCATGAAAACGCTCGACCTTCTCCAAGCAGCGGATTGGCCGACGCGTCGACTTGGCCGAGCTGTGATTGGCTGCGCTAAACGCCAATCAACCTTCCCACCGTCTTTTTGCGGCGGGATCGGACGGAGGAGTGCCCAAGAGCCCACGTGACACGTGAGGTGGCTCCCTTTGAACATCTGGGCAGAGTTGATGTTTCATTTGATTTTTTTTTTCTTTCATTGGCAACTGTTTTAATAAAACTGGATTTTTTCCCCCAGACTCCTCCAATTTAAAATATCACTTTAATAGATGCAAATAGAAACAAAACACATTTATTTTACTAAGACTTAAAATCCACCACTGGCCCCATCTGTTTGGAGAGAACAAATCTTAACAATTAACAATGGTCTGAACTAGCTTTTCCATATATTTCTATTGCCAAGTGCATGATATTCTACTAACAAAGGAACATGGTGGTCCAACTAACTCTTGCATATAAGCTTTTACAACTGGAAAATCAAACTCCAGTCTTATTCTACAAAATGTTAGTTTCCTCATAATGCCATGTAGTGAAATAGCCTAATTAGCTAAATAAATTAATCATTTGTGAGTAAGTAATTTGTTGTAATCATTTGTGACTAAAACTAAATGACCTCAACCGAAGAGCGTGAAATATAACTAAAAACTATGTCAAAGCCGTGGCTGTCAAGAGCAAAGAACCAGGGCCACACGCAGAATTACGCTTATTCCGCCACCTACAGGCAGACGCGCTGTTGCACAGCCTGAAGAAAATCACGGGTAACAATACAGCGTGAGAGCAAACATTTTATTCTGTGACTCATTAAAGCATTTCACAACACAGAGAGAAGGTTGAAGCTTAGATCTTACAGAGTCCTCCACCAAACCCATTGTGCCAATTACAGGCTTGATTACCAATTGACTGCAAAGAGAAAAGTATTTTTTAGTAACAATATAGTATTTTCCAATATAAAGTTAGAAATGGATGTTCTTAAATGTAGAGTTGTTATTAATACATTTTCTTCAAACTTATTTGCGTCATAAAAGTCATTGAGGTTGTTTGATGTATTTAAAAGCAAAAGAATATCCACCCAACCAGAGTGGAATAAAATAAAACTGTTGGTTATATATATATATATATAAAAAATTACAAATGAGCCACAATACCGTTAAAGCTGAAACACTGCCGGTAAAAGTGAAATACTGTAAAAGGATCAGACACTTTGCAGTAGAGACAATTAAACAAAAACTTCTGATGACAGATTTGATGACGGACAAACCAAAGGCTTCCAACACAATGAGGCCATTGTGTGTAATTGCATAGGTACAAATTAAAACTTAATTTGACACATAAGGTAACCCCAAAAGTCATTATTATCAACAAATTGCTTGGTTAAATCAGTAGACTGCTTCAGTTACCCCACATTACATCTCCATTTTGGACAAAAGGGCCTCTATGGAGAGGACCAGTCCTGTGTCCTTCAGTGAATAAAGACGATTGTGTCCGAAGGCCTTTTCTTTCATGACCACGGCAAACATTCCCGTCTCTGCTGACACCAAAAACAGCAATGTGACTCATGAGTGGACTGATCCAATTGTCCTCTTAGTAGGTAACGGCTTCAATGACCAACCAATAGCGCCTCATTCTGAAAACTTTACTGCTTTCCTGTTCCAAAGCCCCCCTGAATAGACCAAAAGCAGCAGTGTGAATATCTATTTGAATACACACACACACCCCTCAAGCCACAACACATGAATCTTTCAGTACCGTATTATATTACACATCTGCTTTAAACTGCACCTTAATTGGCAAGTTTTAGCACCTCAGAAGCTCCTGTAAGAAGCCCCAACGCGTGTATTCTTCAATTGTGAATAACAAATACATGATTGGTTAACTTAAATTTCCCAACAATGCGTCCTGATTGTGATGCAAACAAGCTGGTGTTCCCTTCCACTGCCCTACAAACTCTTTATAAGATAAGAAAACCGGGGGGAAATTCAAAATAAATCATAATGCAAGTGAAACCTAAAGGGAAGAGATTGTAGGAGGCAAATATTATAAACAATAAAACCCTGACAATCTTTCTTTATCCTGAACAAAGGAACACAAGGAAGTTGTCTTATAAAGCGTTCCAACGTTCATTAGCAAAAGAAAAAGTTATGGCATCTCCGAGACGGGGAAAAACGCCCCTCAGCTGGCGTGCAGTTTGACGGACGCCGCAGGCCGCCCCCCCGCGGCCCCCGACGGGGGCGCGCTCTTCTCGCCAAAGTTCCAGTCCACAGGGTGGAGCAGCTGCATGGTCTTCTTGTGCGTCCAGATGGGGTTGATGACAAACGTCAGCAGAGCGAGCCCAGTGAACAGGAGCAGGCGGGGGGGAAGCGCCACGTGGGCGCTGAACTCTGCCCAGTGGGTCAAGAACACCCACCACATGAAGTAGGTGAGAACCATTCGACAGTGGAACGAGTGGATCATCACCCACTGGTTGGCTCTCCAGAACAAGGTGTGTGCGCAGCCAGCCTGGAGGGAGGACAATAGTTTAAGTATTAAGATTATTTTGTTGACATTTTACAATAAAATAAAAATCACATCCTTGAGTGAGCAGGAGGAACAGAGAAGGATCAGGTACCAGATGTTTTCTATTTCTTTTTTTAGAACTTCCTCTTTCTAAGAATGCTATCTTGGCACAATCTAAACATGCACCTAAAAAGGAACTAAAACCATGTGTCACCTCCAGTTATCTCTATAGTAGAAGACCAGAAGATAAGAGATCTTTTGGAGGGGCACAGGTCACGTGCAAGCATCCCCCCCCCCCCCCCCATGGACTACCTTCAGTAGCATCCAGGAGATACAGGTGAACGGCGTGCTCATCTCCAGCAGCAGCGTCACCATGGACAGGAAGTGTCCCGTGGAATCCCAAACCACCAACGACGCGAACCCCGACAGCGCGAAGAAATGGTGCGTGGCCAGCGGGAGGTCGAAGGAGCGGAACACCGCGCCGGAGGCGTGGAGCGCCACGTTCTCGAACACGAAGAAGCCGGTGGCCGTCAGCACGTTGAACCACGACCAGGCCTCCTGCCCCCGCGTCCGGTCTCTGGTCACGGCCGAGTCCTCGGTCAGGGCCCGCAGGCCGGCCGCGGCGCCCTGGACGCCGAACACCGCGCGCGTCGCCGCGAGGTTCCAGAAGACCTTCTCCTTGGCCGCCAGCGAGGCGTAGGTGCGGGACAGCGTGGCGGACAGCAGGTGGGAGAGGAGGAAGATGCCCGCGTAGACGCAGAAGGCCAGGGAGATGAGCTGGAGGCGGTGGTCCGCGCCGGGACGGGGGGGAGGGCCGGAGCGCTGCTCGGGATCCATGTCGTTCGGAGGGAGCGGGGCGGTGCGGGAGCGCAGGCCGAGCAGAGGCTCATCTACAGCGGGGACTGCGAGAGGAGACTGGCGGGTGCATGCTGGGTCTGTGTGGCCGCGTAGCGAACGACAGAACCCTGGTGAAGGCAGGGAAGACAGACATTTTATTTCACTGAAAACAACAAAACCCGGACCTGAAACTAAGTTAAGAGCGAATTGTCCGCTATAACTCGGTAAAGACACTGAAGAGTGTCACGTTTGGTGTTTAAGGCTTTAAAAAACACGACGAGTCACATTTCCACGCTGTCAATCTCGACTTAAAACTGTGTGTAACAAAAACAAAAAAACAACAACCTCAACCGAGCCGTGTAACCTTAGCCGACTTAAGCTAACGGAATGCTAACAACACGTCTGGGTCTCAACTGTTAAGTTGTCGCTTGTGTGCGCAAACAGGTCATTGTGGTACGTACCGTACAGCGGAGCCTCTGCTGGACGGTGTCCCGGTGCTGTGTTCAAGCCCCGGGTTTAAATAAAGTTAATGACAGGAGCGTTCACATCATACGACTTCAATTTGGTCATGTGACACCCCCCCCTCCCCCTTAAACAGGAAGTGACGCCCACTTTAAGACTCCGAACATCCTATTGGTCAACGCCGCTCTTGCACCCTCTGCAATTGGTTATTTCCCGGCCCACACTTTACATGCACTGAGCGAATTTGCGATTTGTCATAATAAAGTGATACAGTGAACAGTTACATTTGTCTTCACATTTGTGAGTATCATTCTTTATCCAACGAGGGAGATCTTTAATTGCATATTTGAAATTGTTTGATTTAGGGCAAGGGGTTGAGTTTGGTGAGGTTTTTAATAGAAATGTCCTAAGGAATGGGCACTCAATAAGCTTTTATGGATTACCTAGAGTATTTGATAAAATACATTGCCATTGTCCTGACTGTCCCCTTTATATATATATATATATAATACCGTAGAAGATGGCTGAGCAGACAGAGTAATCAAAACACTTGTGTGCAGGGTATTTTTAGATGTGATGAAGACTTGATGATTTGGAGGTTAAAGTACAGTGGTGCTTTGAGTTCAAATATCAACAATTGGTCTCCAAAATACGGACTTTACCTTAAAGTCTATTTTTAGAAACAATTTTATATGCCCAGCCAGCCTGGAGGGAGGACAATAATTGAAGTATTAAGATTATTTTGTTGACATTTTACAATAAAATAAAAATCACATCCTTGAGTGGGCAGGAGGAACAGAGAAGGATCAGGTACCAGATGTTTTCTATTTCTTTTTTTAGAACTTCCTCTTTCTAAGAATGCTATCTTGGCACAATCTAAACATGCACCTAAAAAGGAACTAAAACCATGTGTCACCTCCAGTTATCTCTATAGTAGAAGACCAGAAGATAAGAGATCTTTTGGAGGGGCACAGAGGTCACAACCTAAACATGCACAAGACCTAAAAAGGAACTAAAACCATGTGCCCACTTTAAGACTCCGGACATCCTATTGGTCAACGCCGCTCTTGCACCCTCTGCAATTGGTTATTTCCTGGCCCACAAGTTACATGTACTGAGTGAATTTGCGATTTGTCATAATAAAGTGATACAGTGATCAGTTACAAATGTCTTCACCCCCCACAGTATATAACAGATATATATGGTTGTATGTTTCACCTGTAATGCATATTAACATCTACATATTGCAACAATTTGATTACATATTGGCATTACAACGGCGTTGACCAACGGTTTACTCTCCGTAAAGAAGCACCACACAGACAAATCATTCCAAAGTTTTTCTTCAAAAAATTTAATTGCAGAACTATTTACACTGGATGACCTCAGCAATGCTCAAACTACTCAAAGAGGCAAAAGTCTTTCAATAGCTCAACATGGAAAAAGGTAAAATGCAATTGTGGTTTCAAACTAAGCAAATAATACAAAAAAAGAACCCAATGATACCGGAAGTTGCACTAAAATAACACACATGAGAAATGCAAATGTCATTGACTTAAATAAACATCTCAGTGGGACTGTGGAATAATTTCTAACTCTCCAAAATGAATAACTAAGTCTACATTCAGAATCAGTATTTCGCATGCCATCATATCAGCTTATAAAATAACCAAGAAAGAATGACAACAAGAACATGAGCAAATGCAGAAAATAGTCGTGTTTCAATGAAGCATATATTATATATTTATATTTCTATATATATTTATTTACAAATAATGAATATTTGGCATTATATTCATCCTCACTATAGATATGATATACAAGAGATGAAAATAGTTTTAGCTAAACGACTACCTTTTTAATTTGATCTAGTAATTATAGTGGTTTCACATGCCGAGTTGAAGGAAGTGTCGTACGAGTCTCAGCGAGGCCGACGCTCTCTCCTCGGCATGGTTACCAAAAAAACGTCCCCTTGAAATAGTTCCTACCGGGGGATCAAGAGTTAAAAGCAGACAGTTGAACCAGAAGTAAAGCCACGGATGCCAAAACACGAGCTCAAACTATAGAAAGACGTCGTTGGAAAATGGGGAAAGGAAGTTGATGGCATGAATGGTTTACTTTTCACAAATAAACTGACGAGGGACGATGGGGCTGCGTAGAGCGATGATTTTGCAGCAGGCCGAATACGTCAGAAAAGAGGGTACTTGGAGCTAATTGCAGCCCTAAATGACCCTAACTTCACCTCAGTTGAATCCCAGTCGCGTTTCATCCCTGCGGGGCTCGCATGCACGCCTCTCACGTCGACCCGAGCGGTTCCACATTAAACGCCAATCGAGAGAAGCTTGAAGTGAAGACAAAGTCACATGGTGACCGGAGGCCCTTGAAGCTGCTCGTATGCCTACTTGGAGAAAAATCTGTGAAAAGGTGAGAAGCTTCCCATGAATGGAAAGTATTTTCAATGGGACCGAAGGGAGACTTGAACTCGACTTTGACCGTTTAGCTGAAACTGATTCCATAATACATCCCGAAAATTTGCCTGGTCTCGTTGCAACAATGCAAATGCCTCCTGGAGGAGCGAGAGATGCATCAAACTGAACCCGAGGCGGAGGATACACCTCATCTGTTTCACAGCCCTGATCAATTTGCATAAAAGAGAAACCCTTCTGTTGTTTCAAAGAAAGCCTTCAGTAAAACAAGCTGAGCACAGACCGATAGAAACACGCGTGACGCTGATGCTCAAGTCCTCCAGGCCACGGCTCAGCAAAACATGCATCAACGCAGGCTTCGAGGGCCTGCTTCATCTCACCGAGGACGCAGAATCTTACGTAAGCTGCTTTGCTTATTCAAAGGAGGCAGGAGGAAAATCCCCCAGCGCGGCGCCGAGCGCCGCACACCGGCCTGTTTGGCCCGGTCTCCTCCAGGCCAGCGTACGTTATGTCAGGCCGGGTCCGTCTCCCTCTGCCTGCCGTCTGCCTGCCGCTGTGGCAACAGCAGGGGGACGTCTCTGTTAAAGGTCCCTGCCTCTGTGATGAAACACCCACCCCCCCCTCCCTCCTCCTCCCGCCCCTAGCTGAATTATAGATGGGTGTGCTTCTTAAAGAAAAGTGTAACCTATCACTCAACCTTGGGCTATTAAAAGCCCGATCCTCAACCGAAAGTATTGCGCTTGCACGTGTGAAACGATGTCACCGCTGACTTTGGGTACTTGGTGACTCGTGTGACCGATCTGCACGTCGCAGCTTTTCAAATGGCATTTAAAAAAATTAAATATTTGGCACATGGTATGTTATTAGAAAAAAAGAATTCACCCTCTTTACTGAATGTGTTAGCACTAAAATGCAACAACAACATACAGCAAATATGTAAAAATGTATTTTCTAGTTACTCCCACGTGACAAACGTCCCGGGTCCCATAAGGAACACTGGCACAATCACTTGTCATAAAAATAGATTTTCATGTGATGTGTTCACCAGCTGACAGCGCATTTTGTTGCATTGATTGTTCGTATAGTACTGTTAAATAAAAACAGCACCATTTAGTTGGTTGACTACCCAACATTTTTACCCATAAACTTCAGTTTTTAGGTCAGTAATTTGAATATTGGCAACTCACTTAAGACTGATGTTCAAGTTTCTGACTCCAAAGTTTGATGATAAAGAGCAGCAGAACGTGAGCTTTGGCTCAAGATGAGACAACTATGTGAGAAATGTATTTTGTAACAACCTGGAAGTACATTTTATAACCCCTACTGACCGTTATGCAAGAACCCAAAACTTTCACAGCACGTACCGTGATTGGGTCGCACCAGCTCTTCGTAAATCCATCAGTAAGTTGGTGTGTATTTAGCATTTAGATATTCAAATCAAAATTTGCGACGAGTTCTGTCCTATTCATGAAATGTAAGTTTAAAATCTTCATGATTAAAATACATTTTGTTCCAGCGTAATGTCATGCAATATATCTTTTATATAAAGACTTTAACTCCTCACTCTCTTGCTATGTATTTACACGCTAATATTTTGCCAATGGAAACAGTTACAGCTGGATGGAGATACACATGTTAAGGGTGCCGTCTAAGGCCTGTGTGACGTCCACTCATAAAGTGTTAACAAGCAACATCCAATCGCTGAGCTTCTCCTTAACAAAGGTCGCTGGTATTTTATCGCAACTTATCTACAGGATTTATTTGCGTGGTTTCTGTTAAATGTAGAAACCGCCACCTAGCGTGTGAACGCTTTCTGTCACCAGAAAGCTGAACTTACGAGGAGCTGGCGCTGTCGGTACATCTCAACATTGTTACGGGACTCAAAGGCAAATGAGAATGTTGCGCTCGTTGAATCGTGTTATGACAAAATATCACACGCTGCTGCGCAAAGCCACGCAGGGCTCAAATTTGAGTTATTCGGGACGTGCTATTTGCATCCCCACGGAACGCCTTTGCCCTACTTTAGTTTCGTTATTTCCCAGCGCTTCCTAAAGGGAGTGAATCAAGTTAAGACCCTGCTGCAGGAGATTTTCACAACACAGAACCTTTCAAGAAATTTGAAGATCAGAAATCATTTTTGGGGTTTGATGAAACTAATATGCAGATATTTTTTGTTTATGTGTTGGCAGTTTTTCTATCACTCCTCATTAACTGCGGCTGAGGGCGCTACTTGAAAGGGCCTGAGAGAGGTTTACAAGATGAAAACACAGCAGCATGGTTCTGTGTGTGTGTGTGTGTGTGTGTGCGTACTGTAAGTGTGCATGTGTGTGTGTGTGTGTGTGTGATCCAGCCACGGCATGTTTGCACCAAATCAAATTTTTTCAAAAGCAACAGAGACTTTGACACGAGGGAAGAAAAATTGTACACTGTGAATATTCTGCCCGTTCACAATTCAAAAATACAACAGTACTATTGTGAACGTATTGAGTACGTACATTTCCCTTGGAAATAGAGAGAATTGTAATAAGTGCATAAGTGCATTCGTCTACACATTTTGATCTAAGGGGTTACACAGACTTTTATACTTTTGTTTCTACTGCATTGACATAGCGAAAATGTTGGCACAAGACTTGCATGTTTTCAGCTTCAAGTATACGTCAATTTTGAAAGTCGGCAACAGGAACGTGAGATATATAGGAACGCCGTTTGAAAATGTGCACATAAACGAGCCGGCGGATGTCATTCTTACACCGAGAACCAGGAAAAACGTTTGACTGCAACCAGATGGCGTCGAAAGCTGCATTTCACAACACTGACCAGTCCAGTCGAGCTTATACGGGCCGCCTGAATAACCTTGGAGGGGCGATCAGTGCCACGTGCACATAGTTGAGGTATTTCAAGCATTGGCACTTTTCAAAGTTTTTGAACTTAAAACAACTGTGTGATATTTTGCTCGTAATTTAACATTCACCCCGTAAAGACAACGAAAAGAGTCATAATATAAACTGAAGTTATTGAAAAATACTGAAGGGTTACTCACGTTGACCATTTTTGCAAAACTTAAAATAAACATATTTTCTCCTCATTTGCTCTTCATAGCTCAAAGGCCTGGTTGCTGGTAGGTTTTCAAAGCTGCACTTTTTAAATGGCACTTTGCAAATGCTGAACAACTACGGACGTACTCATCCGGGAAAACTGGATGAGAGAGCTCGTAGACTCGGGTGCAAAACCCACCCATGTCCGACACACACACACACACACTAACACACACACACACACACACACACACACACACACACACACACACGCATGTGCGCTAACACTTATTCTGGCAATGGGGGAGCAGGCCCGGCGCATCCTACAGACCAATGGTGTCGGCGATGGGCGCTGAGGATGGCGATCGAGACCTGGCGACGGATGGATAAAAGAAGAGTACAGAGCGTAGCGGTCTAGAAAAAAAGGCTAGTTTTATAAGTCGCTCGAACGGAGGAGCAGGGAGACGCGTCGACCCCCTGCAGCCCATCTTCTCAAAGTCTAGTCTGAGCCTCGGGGATATAGATCTCGATACTGTCCGCCCGCTCCGAGGCCGAGTCCTGCCGGAAGGAGGCGGCCCGCTTCGCCGCCATGAGCCTCCGACGGGCCTCCTGCCGCCCCCTGTCCGGGAGGTCCAGGGACTTCTCCCGGGTCACCAGGCTCCTCTGTCGAATTGTCTTCTTTGGTACAGGAGCTGGTGGCTTCAGGTGAAAGAGCAGATCAGAGCTGTGATTAGTAGCGTACTGGGATTAAAAGTACAAAGGCAGCGTTTTTCTTTATCACAAACTATAACTAAATATGTTGTGGACTCATGTGTCCAGACACAGAGGTGAATATATGTGCATTTTAATGTACCACATTTGTCTGGAAAAGGAGGCAGAGTATGTTGTTCTTTGTTTTACGTAAAAATAATGTTTTATTAGTATGATTTTTGATAAGGGACTGTTTTGAAATAAATTGGGGTTGAAACGTTGCACCACCACAACTACAACAAATATGAATATTAAAAAATGGTGTTGAAAAAAGAAGAAAATTGGCAAAAGTTATTAATGAAAAAAAGAATTCCAGTTCTGGCAGTTCATTGCGTCCATCTGTTTGGTTCACGCTTCCGTAGGAGAACATTGAATCAGTTTCACTCCTTGAATATCAGAATCTTTACATTAAATACACAAAAGTAAAAAAAAAACACAGTAATGTGGTTGCCGCCCCTCACCTTCTTCTCCGGGCTGTCCACGGGCCTCCAGTTGTTTTTCTTAATCTGCTGCAGCCGGTCAAACTTCATGGTGACATCATCGATGGAGAGCTGCAATAGGTCCCAGAAGCCAGCGAGGTCCTGAGAGGTGGGCCGCGGCATGGCACTGGGGTCCTGCCAGGGGAGGAAACACACATTGGGGGAAGCGCTACACGTTGGGTCGCTGGGTGTGTTCCACATAATAAGCATTGCTGCGCTTACTCCGAACTCGCACTGTGTTCAAAGGACACAAGCTGTTGTACTTCAGCTTGGAGCCACTAGATGTCCCCGTCAGACTCATCAAAGGATGCATGAAGGCCACTTTGGCTTTTTTTCGGTTGAAACGAGGAATAACAACTTGGAGATGGAGACCAATCTTAATTTATATCTTAATCTGAATGTATATCGTAATCTTAATGAATGAAATAATAATCATCATTTGTCAGCTCTGTCTTTTTGTCACCTTATTCATGACACAAAATCAAACCTCCTATCGAGGAGCGACTCGTCGCTTCAGGCTTTGTGGAGTCATGAGATTCTGTTCCAATACTTAGATTTCTTTAGGTCATTTTCGTCTGGCTTTTTCTGTGAGGTTTGCGCTTTGTATGTAGTCCCGTCTGCTCCACATGTACAAGTACAATTCTGCTTTTAGATTTAATTAACTGTTTTTCTGTACTATGATACATCACCGTTAATCACAGAGTGTGACCTATGACGATACATGTCTTTGATAGATTCTTACACCTACTGTATGTTTTCCACGCACACATTGATTATAAACAGATCATACTTACTTAACTGTACTTAAAAATAATTTTGCAACTCTGGGCTTGTTTCTATGGGATTATGTCTACGGGATGCAGAGACGTAATGATAACAGATAGCTATTGTTTGAAAGTAAAGCGGTCGCACATGCTTTTTGCTTTGCAGAGTTTTAGTCAACCTGCTGTCCCAGTTTTCGAGTTCTTCCCGTCTGTCTCAAGCCAGAGGATTCGGCAATTTAAACTGTGATGGGACGCGTTGACTCGATTACAACAGAGACGCTCCCCCACCCACAGATCTCATGGCATTTAGATTAGCTGGCAAAGGGTGCCGCTGTCTGATGGTGTAATGGATTAAAAGTGTGCCTCTTAGTTCCTATGATACATTTGATCAGTCAGTTGTGTATTTATTATTATTTGTTTTAGTTCCTAGTGGATTTTCCTGCATGATGTCCTGTCGTACTACAAAGATCCTATGATGCTATAAAAGCTAAATCTTTCAAAATAAAACTGAACATGGGCAGGAAAAGCACCTTTTCATTCAGCTTTCCTTTGGTTACAAATCATTGAATCAGATGACTTCAGACAAATTGTGCCTCAGTATTGTTTCAGTGATACTGGAATTAATGTTGACAGTTATTTAAAAAAAAATCCCTCTTTTACATAATATTATAATAGAGAGTTAGCGTTTCACTTTGATATTGTCATAACATTATGAGATTAGTATAATTCTCCTTTTAACAGTGAATAATGAATATAAATCACGCTGGAAGGAGCCCATCGAGGTAAGCAGGTAACAGAGCACGTTTCTGTTATCTTTAATTGCCAAGTTGGAGCCTCGGCACTTCATCGGCTTTATTCTGACCCTCCAACTCGTGATGTTCTGCAAACAGTCTCAGAAGTCTCACTGCTGCAGAGCGGGCAGATATAGACGACGTCGGCGGCTCTTTAAGCCGTCGGTGGAAGTGTGCGCTTTTAATCCTGCATCTCCTCCCAGGGACGAACACTGTCTGTCTCACGTCGGGAGCCTTTCTAAATCAAGAACTACAAAGTGGATCCAGGTGTACAGAAATTAGACGTCTTTTTAAGCTTCCAATTTGAGGGACATTTATTTCACCAACTGAGGCAAAGCGTGAACTAAACGTCGCATTAAATCTGTAATGACAGTACGTGCATTTGATCATGCAGAGAAATGTTGCATCTTATTGCACAGGAAAGCGTCGCTGCTGAAGCTGCATCTCTGCCGCGATGACGTACTGTTCATCTCAGAACCTTCGGGTCACACATAAATGTGCTGGAGAGCTATTGATGCTCAGTTTGGAAGCTACACGGGGAGCTGTGATTCAGCTGGTCTGCGCCGGCTGATGCATCAAACGCGTGTTGGAAGCTGGAGGACACAAAGGAGCGTGGAATTGTTTCTTATGACAGTTTTCCTTTGCTTTGTTCGCGCTGCGGCGGCACACTCGCACTTTGCTCACTTAAAATTTAGATGTGATGTTTTTCGGATTCATGCATACAGGAGAGAGTTGAGTGGGGTCTCTGCTTTTAAATGTTCGTCTGACGAGAGTGCTACGACTTTGGGTTTGAGCTTTGAAAGCTAAGTACTCCTCTATCGCCATGGAAATAACAAAGAAAAACTTTTCTTCAAAGACTGAGAGATGCTCGGTACGAAGCTACAAGGAGACAAATGGATAATTTAGTGGTTTGAATAATGAAAAAGGCAGCTGGTTTGTTTCTCCCACATTGATGCATTTTTAAAGCTTATCTCCATCTTTTCATTTTTGTTGGACGCTTCACCATTCATGGACGATTCTAATTAAATTACGCAGGGCTGCATAGAGACTTGCTGTCGAGTTGTCGATGATCGTGTGTGATTATGTGGATGTGATGACACCTGGCGAAAAAATATATTGTTTCTGTTGTTGTTATCAACAAAACCGAACTCCCGGAGGTGGATTTATTACCATGTTTTGCTGACACAGCCAGTAGAATTGCTGGAATTTCTGGGACATAAGCAGCTGAGCGCTTCCTACTGCACTTCGGATTTTACCTAGGACTGAAACAGACACACACACACACACACACACACACACACACACACACACGCACGACATATCAACTAATGCAGTCCAGTAGATGTGAAACAAGAAGCCCCGCCTCCTGGATGTTTGCCTGGGCCAACCAGAAACGTCCAAAATATCCTCGCCTCCTTATTTCGGGTGGCATTTTCATTCTTGAATGCTGAATATAATTATCATATTCATTATTATTATTCATTATTATCATTAGCCCAGAAAGCAGTTTTGAGCTAAATCTTTATCATTTCAACATGAGCGCAACACTCACTGTCCTCCGACAGGTCGTTCTCCTCGGCCTCGGCCTCCATCTCTTTACACCAGCCTTCGATCCTCTTGGTCTCCGTGTGGAGCAGCTGCATGAACCAGCTCCCGTCCCTTCTCAGGGAGGGGGACGCCCTGCCGGAGTCGCCGGGCGAGGCGGCGCTCTTCCTCGGGGAGGGGGGCTCCAGCTGCCAGCTGGCCTCGCTGGTGGTCTCCCGGGGGCTGGAGGGCTCGGCGGTGGCGCGGTAGTCCTCGCGGTAGCTGAAGAGCCCCTGGGTGCGCACGGTTCGCACCGCCCCGTACTGGGTGGGCGTGCTGGGCTCCGAGTGGCGCTGGAAGCCCCCGCCGAACTGCAGGCCCTTGTCCTCCATGGTGGGGAAGCCCTCCAGCTCCATGTCGGCCTGCACCGCCGCCGTCACGCTGTTGGAGCGCTTGAACCGGCCTTGTCTGAGGTGGAAAGAACAAGACATGTTCACACGCACGGACCAAAATGGCGAATAGCGGCGAGGTGGAAGATTCCAACGAGCTTCATGCCACAGAACCGTGATCTCACCCCTTCTTGTTGTCCTCCACCTGGATCCCAACAGAGTGGTACTGCCGCAGACCTTTGCCTTCAGACTCGGAGTCCGTGGCTGCTTCGACCTAATGTGAAGAAACGATACAAACCAATGGTGCTTCTCATTATGCGAGCTTCCGACCCCCCCCCGGTGCGTCCGGGTTTTATTGGTTCGGCACCGGACGGAGCACCTTAACTGTACACAGCCTGTCAGAAAGCAAACACTGTGTGATTTATGGAGGCTACGAAACGGGGGGGGGGGGGTTCCTGTAAAGAATTTTAGGTGTCCGCTGAAGTAACAAAAATGGGAAGGTAATTTTTATGTTGTGCTAATATATTGCTGCATGTCCACTCGATGTGTAAATAGGAAACTATTGTGCTCAGTACTCAAAGTTAAAAAGTATGGATCGCTCTTTGTCGAGTACCCGCAGCTGTGCGACCACACAGGGACGGGTAAGGCAGCGTTTGTGCTTATTTTGGGATGTGAGGGAGGAGAGAGTGATGGTGATCCCGCCTGCCGATGCATGGCTGCCATCCTGATCCGGGGGCCGAGGCCCAGAGGCTCCCTGGAGCCCCGTGTCTTACCGGCTTAATGGAAACCCCCCCCAACAGCGCTCAACAGCGCTGCTGCTGCTCTTCTCCATCCATCCGTCACTTCTTCCTCGTTCCCGCAGCTTTTCATTTCTTTACTGATTCATTTCTTTGCTTTCCATCTTTGATTAAGAACAAAGCGTTTCTGCCGGCTTACTGTAACAACCTTGTCTTTTTCTTTTTTTACTGTGACAACCAGAAAGCGTCTGCAAAGCAGATGTGATTTGAGTGGTTAAATACTAAACCGGAGCTACTCAGAGAAAAATGGATTTACCAATATTCATGATCAAACCTCAATATCGATTTTGCAACGATATGGTAGACTGTTCAAAGGGGCTTTACAAAATATTTTATTATTTTGATCAATAATCATGGAATAAAACCTAAAACTGCCTTGTTGTTCAGAATGAAATAATGTAACTGCAATGCACATTATGGATAATAGAATATCTGGTCTCGTGAAATGATCTCTATACAAATATGTTGCCCACCCCAACCGTATAATGAGAGAGATGCCAGCCAATTTTTTGGTTAGTGACCAAAGATCTCTAATAGGACACGGATGACATTCCCATCTGCCTCCGACGTGCTCTGCGCAATTCTCCAATTAAGAATGTTAGCAGCCCTGAGCCTGAAAAAGTCCTCAAACGGCTGCTAGAATGAGTTTTTTTACCAACAATAATCATCACGGCCTTTTCCATCATACATTACAGAAAAAGAGCACATCCATAGGAGGCCTTTAGATCCTCTGGCATCAACAAACCTTCAGTTCAATTACGACTATGCGAGAGCGCCATGAGGCACTGGCTCATCACACATTTCGCGAGAGCCCTTTTGTTTACCGTCCGGCCGGTTTTATCAGGGAGGAAACGCGCGTGGAGCTCCGTGTTGAGTCGACCTCCGTTGCTTTGTGTTGGAAGCAGAGTAAAAACCACCTCGTGAAAACGGAACGAGTTCCGTGTGTGTGTGACGGATGAGGACGGAAGGGGGCAAAACGTCAGGGGTGCGCACACACACACACACACACACACTGCATCAGTAATTACAGTCACATCGTCAGCACAGGTGCGGAAACGTTGAGCTTCAGCAAAAAGTTGAACACAGCCAAAACCCCACAAACACCACCTGGTGACATTTCTGTGATGTGCTTAAAGTTAAAATGTTTGACTTCCCTCGTTGATGAACGTCCTTAAATCCTCCAATTAAAGCCATTTCTGTAAATGCACCAATTAGTGCTCTGCAACACAAACATGTCTCTGCTTCAGCTGATGGCTGTCCAAGGTAAGCTATACGAAGGAGTCTCCTTAAGGACAACGGCAAGTTAGACAACACCACGTCCGCATGGTCAAAGATCAAAGGTCAGGATGGAGGTCAAACAGGAAACAACCAAGCAAAACAGCGGCAGGCTAATTGAGGTTAATTATAGCGTACTTTGTAAATAGCATTCACTACTGAGTATACAAGGAGGGATAAAACTAGATGAAAAATGACCACTAACTGTGCAAAGAGCCCAAATCTAAAATTCACACAATACCTTTGAATGTCTGCTCTGATAAAAAAGCATTAATGGCCCTGCGGTGACGGTGCGAGCTGACGCTGATGCAACCTTTAGACTGCGCCTGGAGATCAACAACACCGGAACCTCCGCTCGCATCCGACAACCAGGAAAAGAAAAGATCACACAGAGGAAACACAGGGAAACGACGGAGGGAGAAGGAGAGTGATGTAGGAGAGTAGTAAATGGAGGAGTAGTGAGAGAACCATTCGCTACAACCTTGTGCAGCACGGGATGAATCTTAATGGACGGACTGCGGTGAGGTGACTCACTCTCGATATTTTTAGCTCCTTAAAAGGGGCCGTTGCTGCTGAGTTAAATGCACGTGTGCGTTCGCGTGTTTCAGTATCGGGCGTCATCGCGCCATGCCGTGCATCCCAGTCGTATGGATCCCACGTGAAAGCGGACTAACCTGTATCCCAATGGAGGATCGGGGCGTCTTCAGGTACTCCTCGGCTTTCGACACCAGGACGGCCTTGTCGCAGGTGAGCACCGAGCTGTGGCTGTCGGTGGACGGGTGCCTCTTTCCGACCATGACCCCGGCGGCCTCCATGGCTATGGTCACAGCCTTGGTGCTGTCCAGGCTGTCGGTGGAGTTATAAAGGACCCTGCCCGCATTCAGGCCCAGGCCCAGGCCGTCGGGGGCCCACATCCCGCCGCGAGGGTGCCGCGCCTCGTGGTAGGCGTCCTGGGTGGACTCGGTGCTGCTCTGAGCCGTGATGGAGATGAGGGGTTTGGAAGTGGTACGGGGCGGGACAGGAGGAGGGGCCTTCTTATAGTTGGTCGTGTAGGTGATGGCTGGAAAAGGTAAAAAGACATGTTAATTCATTTTTTTGGTTATTCATTTATGTTATTGTGCCATTAGGCAACGTTGCATGTTCTGTAAAAAGTTCAATTGCATCCTGTAAAAGGACGTTTCTACTTAAAGCGCCTCTGGTGTTTGACATCATTCTGAAGCACACCTTTGTTGTACTCGGGCCATAGCATACGTGCACGTTTTTGTCCAAATATTTGTTCTTACTAAAACATGGAATGTGTGTGTGTGTGTGTGTGTGTGTGTGTGTGTGTGTGAATCCACACGCTCCATACAGGCTCCACATATTTGTCATATGACTACAAGCTGTTTAAGGACAGTTCTTTCCGATGGATCATTGATGAATGTGGTTGCTCAATTAACTCACTTTCATTACCCGATGACCTCATTAGTGTACGAGCTAATATATTAAGCCAATTATGATGGGGCATTAGGCAGCAACACCATTTGTTTAAATACTTCATGCCAGTGACCAGGAATCAGGAATCATTTATTGCCAAAATATGTCAAACATACAAGGAATTTGTCTTGGCGGTTGGTGCGTGACAGTAGACAGTGTAACAATAGACAACAAGACAGCAGTGCACAAGTAATAAAATAAAATAAAATGAAATGCTAATGCCATGGGTTAGTAGAATAAGGCTATGGGTTAGTATAAAATAAGAGAATAAAGTTAAAAAATATTAAACAGTGGAAAAAAATTAAAAATAAAGTGCACTAGCGAACAAGTGACAAAGTGACGAGTGAAAAACCAAACATGTCCAAGCTCACGCTATCAAGCGAGTATAAGCGGCGTGTGTATGTCTCAAATAAGTGCGATTTATGGGTGTGAGAATGTGGCTTTGCAGGAGAGGGACGTCTATCTTGTGGGAGTGATGAATGATTCGATACAGTAACAGAGTTTCAAAGCCCCTGAGACACGAGTCACTCATCAGACACGATGACGATGCTGTTAAAAAATACTCCAGAGTAATAAAGAGTACTCATGTGTGGAGGATCCTGGTGAGGAGACACCGCTCAAAGAGGCCTCATCTTCTGATTCTGTCCATTTCACGACAGAAAGAGGAGGGGATTACTTGGAGTGCAAATGAGAATACGGACGTAATCCACAGAGAGAAGGACCCGGGGAACGGGCCACAAGCGCCTTCTAAGCTAACTGTGTCTTTATTTTCAAACAAGGCTTTGACAGAAAAGCATCTGAAGCATCTGAAGCACAAGGCTGAGTGTGTGCCAGGTACCTCGAGCCGAAGGCAGAAGAGATAAGAGCGAGAAGCCTGAGTCACGCTGCGGGTTAAGTCACCGGTTATCCTTTTCCTCGACAAAGAGGGAAAACCGGGTCCAACTCTGTGTTACAAATGCTTTCTTAGCACAGAAAGTCATCGCGAGGACAAAATGTGATCTGTTTTAAGTTCCAATGAGCTGCAGCCCAATTGCATTGCATTTTAATGAGACATCATTTATGGTGAGAATACAAAGCCGGGGGCTTCACCTCAAACCCGTGAAACCCTCTGGGCGCTTTTTCATTCACATTTTGGTTTGAGTTTATAAATAGCTGGATGTCTGGTCCATGAAGACCGTTATGCTCGGGGGAGGGGGGGGCTTGCCCATTCATAAAATGAAGTCCATGCATTAGGGGGAGAGCAAGGAAGAGAGAAAATAGAGAGATGCAGAGGTGAGAGGGGGGACAGGAGAGCAGGTCCGTGCACAACGGATGAGAGGGAGAGTTTGCGGGTGTGAGACGCAGAGTGAAGATAAATCAGGCAGCGAGGAGAGAAAGAAGTGGGAAAGAGATGACCCATTCAGGGGGCATGATTCAGCAGCAGGACCGAAATAGAGCCATTATTAGCCAGCCAGTCGAGCAAAAGGGAACCATAATTCTTGCTCCCATCTCGGCAGCGGCAGTGGTACCCAGCATTTACGTTCCATCTGGAGTCAACACGGCCCGCACACACTGGCCTGCAGTAAGAGGCTGCACATTATTAACCACATCAACCACTATAATCTCACTAAAAATACATGGAGTAACATGGAGCATATTCCTAAAAGTCAACGATTTGTGCAGCCTGCAAATATAAAGATCTTAAAAAGACTCTAAAGCGTCTTAACAATCCTCAATGTGCCTCTATAAACATCTCCATGACAGCAAGATGTCGCCTTGTTTAAGTATTTTGTTTCAGAATCTTTAGAAGCTCCTTAATGTATTAAGTATGAATATTCCATTTAATCTCTCGCTCTCTCACACGCACACGCACACACACACACACACACACACACACACACACACACACACACACACACACACACCCAGTGCCAGTAAAACAACTACCACTGTGCCAGTGAGTTTGATTAACGCGAGACACAAAGGCAGTGATTCAACCGCTCCATCTCTGTTGGAGCTCTCTATTTATCAGGACTGGCTCGTATGCTAACATAGGGGGGGGAGGGGGGTGATGGGGGTGATGGGGGTGGTGGGGGGGGGGGGTGGGGTGGAGCGTCGTTACGAGTCTTTCTTCTCCATTGGATTTATCACCGTAAAGGAAATGCTGCAGTTTGTTCTGCAGCAGGCTTTTAAGGATATGCAAAGGGAGGCGGGCGAGGGGGGGTGGGGGGGGGGGGGGAGAAGGACTCCAGTATATTGTGAGGGACGTTGTTATAAAAGTAACTATAGATTTAAATAACACAGACTCACTTAACCGGCCGTGGATGGTTTACGGAAGTTTAAAGATTGTGATGAAACGCAGGTAAAAGAAACACTGCAACAACTAAACAACCCTTAAGCTGCAAGATGCTGTTGTTCTGTGAAAGATGGACCTTCTTTTTTGTTGGCTCATTGACGCCTCAGAGCTGCTATGAAGTGCTTCATGTGAATGATTCATTTTATGAAACGTCTAGTTAGAATATCACTGCCATATTTACCTGGGGTTTGTTGCAGAGTGCGATCGATGCTGCAGGTGGAGGGGAGGCAGAACTGGATCCCTGAAAACAACGGAGTGGGGTGGATATTCAGAGAAGTGGGCATTTCCGCCCAAACATGAAGTACAATCTACTACACAAAACATACGGCAGACTGGACTTTGAGTAACCAGCACTCACACTCGCGATATTTCTTTCCATTTATCACCATTTACTTGGATTTGACATATCCGATGGGTCTATTTGGACCGACGGGGAGAGACTCGTCTTTGAGGTTGGCGTAGATAGATCAACACACATAAATGACCCGCCCCCATGACCCTTTAACAATCAAAATATGACCAAATATAGAACATAGATTCCAAAGAACGGCAGTCTAGTTTAAGAGTAGATATTTCTTGAAAATGTATGTGAATTTTATATCTAGATCTGTTAGATAGATATGCCATATTAGTTTAAGACATTTATATTCATAATTGTGTAAGAATGCATTTTCATTTCTGTTTTATGGACGCATCGTTATCATTATGTATGTATTATGTGATAAGTGCTTGTTGAGATGCAAGATCATGATCCTGATTAAACTTTGTAATTGAACAATGTTGCCGCAATTAAACCCATAAACTGTGTGACATTCTCAATAAAGAAAATAATATGTGTGCGGAGCGCGATCGAAACAATTATGTGAACAACATTAGAGCAGTTCTCTCTTCTGGCAGGCCACTTTCCTTGTTAGGCCTGTTCATAATATAATGTAAAAACAAAGTGGCCAGCATGTTTTTCTGCAACTTACCTTCAAATAAACAAACATTTCACAACTAGTCATTAGCGTCATTGCATCTGTGCCAAGGATACAGATTAATGTAAAACTGTCCTGAAACGGTATTTCCAATATTTGGATTATATCTTCGTCCACTGCAGTACAGGGTCAGTTACTGTGCTAGTTTGGGAAAAACACGTTGCAAATGAAAAGTTAAACATGGAAGTGATGCCTTTGATTCCAATGAACAAAAGTAATACAACAATTCAACATAATTAACTTCCAACCGCTTTGAAAACCTTTCAGATTTAGTCAATTTATCAAACTTCCAAGTGTTCTGCACACATTCAATTTCGAGAGACGACACAAAGGAAAATGCTTTTCTGGTGGCTCACTGATGTTCAGCTGAAAGATTCTTTTTGCTCCAGCACACTTTATTAGGGCACAGACTTCAGAGGGCGATTCCATATAGAGCCCATTTAAACCGGACAGAGAGCACGGATACATCTCGTGATTTTCCCCGGCTTTTTAGTTGTTCACCGCTGGTAGCAGAAGTCTGAGTATTGTGGATTATGTTGGCTCCTTTTCATTGCACTGAATATCGAAAATGAAACAATGAACAGAAACCAAATTACAATGATGCACTGTAAATGAAATGCACAAAATATTGAGGCTGTCTCTCATGCACCGTTTCAATATCATTCAGTGTCACACATGTTAAAAGTACCCACATGTTGTGCACCTAATTCTCAGGGAGGAGTGAGATTCACTGTTAGTCCGTGATTCCTGAGCATTGAGATGAAATCCTACATTGAAAAATCACCTTGCCTGTTATTAGGCCTGTTATTAATGTAGTCAGATTATTGGACAATTTATGTGTACTTTTTTTAATTATTGTGTGTATATAGGCTGTATGTTTGGTAGCAAGTGTACACATGTATAACATGAGGCTGCGTGTACAAAGGGGCTACATACCATAACAGTACTAGTTTGTCATATTTGAGCGTGGATTTGAATTATTGGAGTTATTTTTTACTTTCTGTTAACAGTACAATATTCCAGCTCAGTCAAAGCTTGTGCAAAATTTCACAGCATCACACCCTTTTCTTTGATACCCGCGTCCATCCAACAGCTCACATAGTAAACAGAGAGTTCTTATAGTTATATGATAACTGCAAAGATGTACTTCACTCAATTCTAGAGTGACAATAAACAGAGAGTTTCCTTTTGTCGGGACCTTGTATACATTATACAACAGTGTAGTTTACAACAGAACTTCAAAACAGTCTCTTAAAGTAGATGTAAAATGTCTTTGATGTAATACATGGACAAAACAAGAACATTCATTGTTAGCGTATCCATGGATTTGAAAAGGCTGAACTGTCCAGGAAGATCATTCATATCAGAGGTGACAGCAGCTTCAGAAAAAGTCATACTGCTTTCAATAATGTCTTGAAAGCAGGGCTGTTCCAGTTTATCAGCACCTTAGGTTCATCGCATTCTTGCTGCATGATGCAATCCTTGACTTCATTACTTTTTTTATGGAATAATACCAGTTTGTATATGAGGAAGTCCTCTCTTTGAATGCCAATGCCCACATGACATTTAGATCTGCGCGGTGGGCTACAGCGTACTGACAGCTACAAACCGTGAGCTATAAATAAACTTTGAGCTACATTTTGTCTGCTAAAAATGAGGTATGAGCTCACAGAGTGAGCGACACGTATGTGATTTCTGCACTGTTGTACTCGTATCTCCCGCTCCACAGCTCCACGCTGGCACTCCTGTGCATCATTTCTTGTTTCTGGCCTCTCTTCTGCCACCTGTACCACAGGAAGGCCTGCTCGCTTGAGGATGTCTCTGGACTACCTGGGGTCTTTTTTTCCAACACTTCCCCGTACTCCAGGTATTCAGGTGTACACTCCAGTGTCTCCGCAATCATATCGCCTGGCTCTTTGGGTGCAAGGTCCACTGAGTCCTCAAGATCTGGTGGGGCTGAATCTGTATCTGGCGCGAGGGGATCCGGGACTGGGCTTGTCGGTCCAAAGTCCATTTCCAATGATGTATCAGGAGATACTGAACTGGGAGGGGATATTGTGACAGTGACCTTTGGTTGTGGGTTCTCATGTAATTCTGAGGCTACTTCCTGAGGCATGTAAGCTAAGCGATGCTCCATAGCTGGGTCCAAACGGACAGGTTCTGTTGACGGAGAAGGATCCAAGGGGCACACTGTGGCAGGGTCAACAAGGGGTAGGGGTGAACTTGAACAATGTGATTGGTAGAAGGGTGGCTCCAAATCCTCCGTAATAGATGGATAGTCAACGCTCAGGTCAAACGGATCTGGCTCAGGGTCCATGAACACAGAGTCAAGATCATCTTGATCTAGGGAGGTCAGCATGACTAAATCAAAGTGAACCAGATCAGCATGATATATAGGGGTTGTATCAAGGGGTTCAGGTAGGGGTGGCCACTCTGGCTCAGGGTCGGTGTTGGGTTGAGTTTCTACAAAAGTGGAAGCAAAGGCGGTAGCCGATGCCATTTGCTCTGAGGGAGAGTCAGGATGATAATCTGGGAAGGTTATAATGGGATCTGGATCTGTGTCACTATCAGTTAGACTTGTAGGAGAATCAGTGTCAAGGTACTCTGAAATCACAATGGATGGACATATGATGTCCGTCTCTAAATTACATGACGGGACAGTAACAAGATCAAGTGTGGGTTTATCAGAGACTGAGAATGGGCCTTGACTGACAGGGCCAGGTGAGGGCACTATTGCCAAGTCTGATGATTTGGATTCTAATTCTGTTGGGTCTGTAGGATCTGGATCATCTAATCCTGAATATGGTAAAAACACGGCAGCCGGATCTTGAGAGACTGGATCTTGTTTTTCCACAGTCATGGGATCCGGAGGCTCAGAATCTGACATATCATTATCATGTTCCTCAGGTGGAGACACAATAACTACAGGAACTGGATTTGGTAGCCATATCCTATTTCTTTCAAATCGTTCTGAGTCTGTGGATCTCATGTAATCAAGGTGACATGGTTCAGTATCTGAATGGGAATCGTTAGCTGCGCCTGTAGCTATTAGCTGTGGAATAACTATAATGTCTTGTTCCAGTGTTACAGAATACTGTGGGCTATCTAAGGCTGCTTCTGGGGTAACTGGCACTGTACCATGAGTGCTGACTGGCTCATTAGCAATTGTACCAGATGAACTCACAATTGCATCATCGGGTAGCTCTAATTCTCTTTCTGGTTTAGCTTTAGAGGGCACAGCAGTCAAATCAATTGTCTCTGGTTCTGCGGCCCTAACGGAGCTTGGAAGTATCGGGCCCAAAGAAAGTGGTATGGCACTTTCGACATACATAGACTGTGGACAGGCAAGAATGCTTGGGTCCATAGAGAGCTGTTTTGGCAGATTTCTGCGGGCACCTTTCTTCTCTTCCTTCTCCTCTGGACAATTGACAGCTGCATCTGCAGTGCTTTGCCGGACCAAGACCTTGCTTCTGGCCTGGGTCCCCACAGACACTTTTGATATTTGGGGTTTCTTCTCTCTAGCTCCCCCGGTGCATCCAGTGCCTCCATCTGCCGCTGAGGTTCCAAGTCCCCCCAAGTCCAAGTCCCCTACACCCACCCCTGCTCCTGCCCTTGGGGCTGTCCCTGTTCCTGCCCCGACACGTCCACCAAAACCTCGGCCACCTCCAGCAGCCAAGTTCCCACCTTGGGGAGACCAAGTGTTGTAATGCTGCGTGAAAGTGTTGAAATTACTGTTGAAAGCACGAAGCTCCACACAGAGGTCCCTCCTTAGATCGGCCAGCTCTCGACGCATGGCCGAGACCTCTTCCTTCCACTGCATGCTGATGGCTGCAGCCAAGGTAGCTGACTCTTTGATACTGGCCTGGATGGCTTTTGGTGATGGGGCATTAGCCCTGGGGCATCTGAAGAGGCTCGGAGAAACTGGTGGTCCAGACAGAGGTTTGGCCGTAGCGCCCATGTTATCTTGTTGGTAAAGCCTGTCTCTTCTGATGGGGCAGCCTAGATCGTCATGAGCCAAAGGGGCCGTGCCTGCCAAATCCTCAAGTACACTGGCCTGGTCGGGTAAACAAGAGTCTTCCTGCACATAATTTCTATCTGTAAGACAAATATGAATATGTCTCTGTAATACGGCCACAGGTGTGAGCAGCTGGAGAGAATGTGCTTTTTATTGCTACAAAGCAGTAACATCAAATCATGCACTGAATGCCATGAGTCAAAATAAGATAATAGCAGAAATCTACAACTAAGCGCTAACCTTAGTCAATATGTCTCCAATTCTGTGATCTCTGTACTATGGATGTTTATTTCACAATCTGAAATATAATTGTACATGATGTTATTAAAAACCAGTGTAACACTGGGAAAGTACTCCCATTTTGACTCATTTACATTAATGGTTTACACTGCCTTCTCAACCTCAATTTGTAGCATGCATTCTTTACATCTTTTCAATGCACAAAGCTGAAACTTGTATCTCCCGGAACACAAAGCAGAGAATGGACAATATTCCTAATAAATGAGGTGTAAGAACAATCCTTGCATGCTCGTCTGCTTTCAGTCGAGGTAAAGAAATGTGTACTTTGTGCAATGAAAAGAGGCAAAGATGAGCAAAGCTTCCAAACCGTTTCCTATCAGCCAGGAAGTATAGTATGAACCCTATTGAAAAAAGTGAGGTCCAGTTTGACAGATTGATTCGCAGCGCCAATTGCCTCACGTCCGAAAATCTATCACATACCAAACTCTGTATCCTAAAAATGCAAATGTATCAAAGTCTACTGAGAAAGCAGTGAAAATAAACCGTAAAAGAATTGATCATAAGCACAGTTCCAGATGGCCACACCTCCAACCCTCCCTACTGTGGTTCAACCAATGTTGTTAGTTCATGAGTCTACTGTGGGAGAAGGTGAAATCCGCTCAGACTTCTCATCCGGAAACCTTTTCTTCTTTTCTTCCCACATTCTTGAGCTGCACAAGGATGTATCATTTCCTCTGCAAAGCCAGCAATCACGGGAATCGTTGAAACCTCCAGAAACGTACAATTTATAATCAAGGCTTTGTATCGAAATTTTCAGCTGAGTAGCTTTTGAATTATTGTAACAAGTTTGCATATGTAATATTATATATGTGACTAGCAAGTGTGACAGTTCAGTTATCGGTTTATTCATTGTGAGCATTACATAATTCATCATCCACGTCTAGACACATTAATGTGCACTTCTATAAATGTGATCTCCTTGTGAGTAAACATGAGCTTTGCAATGACACAACATGTGTGAAGTGAAAAATCGGTGTGCGAAGAAACCTCGCTGTTGTGACATTTCAAATGTGAACTGGGTTTACAGGTTAACAATGCACACTCTGCATACTACAATTCCACCATTTCTTTAGCCTGTTTGCAATAAAGCAGTATGTAACTTCAAAAGTGTCCACAAAAAAAGAAAGAAGGAAAAAGCAGTCATGATCTGTTTCTTCAGACAATTTTCATTTTGTGATTTTCAATAGGGTTCATAACTTTACTCTGATGCATCCAATGGATGAGCAGATGGAGCGCTCGAAATCGAAAACAGCTGGATGAACTAGCACAGCTCGCGAGTGGTGGCTACGGTATTCATACGCCCATCAAAAAACAATGGAAACATACAAGAGTGATTCATGCAGAGATATGAAGCTTTTCGACAGTGCAACCAGGTTGCACCAACTCTCTGTTCATCCATTAACACATGTTAATACCAAATGTAAGCTTTTGGTGTTAATTTGTGAGTATAAACAACATCCGGGATGTCACAGACTTGACTTGTGCAAATGTGAAAATGCTCTTACCTGTGGTTGCCCTGATGGTGGAGGTGACGGTGGAGCCCATGGGGGGGATGCAGTCATCGTCCTGGGAGTAACCGGCCTGGATGGCTCGCAGGTAACTGTGACTGCGGGTTCTGAAGCAGCCGGGCAGGTCCAGAGCCTCCATGGCCTGCGATTCCACCTCGCTGAACACCGACTCGCACACCGATTCAAACTGGCCATTCATTTCCGTTTCACTCACCTGTGAGAGCAAACGAAACGGAAGCATTTCTCGACTGTAGAGCTCTGTGCTGGCTTGTTCATAATCAAAGATAAACATCTTGTTCTATTGGGATTTGGAAATAGGAGTTTACTTGATCTTTTAAGACTCGGAACAAATCAATAATCCAATCTTTTAAGAGGGAGATGCATATCTTAACAACTCCTGTTAGAGGCTTTAAATCTATCCAAACAAACAGTGTGCAATGAACGTGAAATAAAGCCAGAAAAAAGGATGTGTGTCTATTGAAAAACAACATATGCGTGGTATACAACAGAAGAGTTGACGGGGGAGTTGGTAAGGACAGTCACGCTCTAGAATTGGGAGTTTTAAATGAACACCTCTGTGGTGAAATGATTCCAATGAATTCCTCAGGGTCCGTCAGCAGCCCCCCCCCCCCCCCCAGTGGACAAACCGCTGGCCCCCAATACAAGTTGGAATTGAAAAGCCCTGCTAATTTGAAAGGGACGAAGACCCCCCTGGTCACTTGGGTCACGCGGCTTGGCTGAATCAAGGGGCTGAATGCCTGCCCGTAGCTCTTGTTCCCGGGACCAAAATTGGGCGAGATGTAGATTGCAGAAGGGTCCCCGGCGAACCTCGGGCGCCTTTTCCCTGCTGCCTGGAAGTGGGAGCCCTCACTGGAACAGAGAAAGGAAAAAAGGAGAGGCAGCCATGGAGTGAGACCTCGGCCGCTGGGGCGATTTCTTTCGGGCGAGTCAATAAAACGGAATTTCACTCACAACCGAAGGCGGTTTGACCAAGTGGCTACAGGTGTGCCATGATGACAAAACAAGTGTCCTCCTCTGGGCAAACCTGAACCTAAGAAGGACACAGTTATGACATTGGGTCTCCTTGTTTCTCTCGCCCACTACAAATGCGTCCTCAAAAAGGCAGCTCGATTGCTGTTGTGCTGAAACGCCCAATCAATGCTGGGAAATGAGGGAAATGCAAAACAGGAGCTAGTTAGTGAGCAAGCACTTCAGAGAGCACCCCGGTGACAGCCGGGTCAATTAAATGTGCTTCCCCAGCAGTGCAGCGGAGAAAGCCGAGCCCGGTTTGAAATCTGCTGGAGAGAAGACAAATGGAAGCATGCGAGAAGAAAGGCACTTTAAGTAAACTAGCGAACGCTCTGTGAGTCTCATGGAGAATACCGAAGTGAGTTTCCTTCCGCCATATCCATTTCTGATGGCAGGCGGAGATGAGTAAGCAGTGTCGGGGGCTTTTTTTTATAGAGATAAACACTGTTGTTTGGCAGCGAGGAAAATGCCAGCGTGATTAAGCGTCCCCCAATCCGTCTTGTAGCGCTGAAGCGAGGACGGGCGGTGTTGTTGTTTTTGCAAAGTGACATCAAACTTCTTAACCTCCAAAGAAAACCCGGCTGCGCTTAAGGTAACGAAATAAGCGGCGTCGGCGCAATGAAATGCGGTCCCTTTTCGTGTTTAGCGGTGCGTTATCGTTCACCGGTAGGAGCCACCTCTCATTGGCCGGTCCTGAGTGTGTGGACACCCTGCGAGGTCTCACTGGGTGTGACGGCAGGGCAGCGAGCCAGCTGGCTCCGGCGCCCGACCACCGCCACGTGGCAGCAACAGAGAGGCAAGGCGAGGGGTGGCGCTGAGCCCGTATTCACCTTAAGTCTGCAGCGAAATTGGTGATGTAGTTACGCATGTCACTGTTGATTTTATCCAGGCGGTAAGAGCTGTGGGTAGAGAAGAGAACAGAGTTACTGGGTCCCACAGGTGGGAGTTGGATGGAGGTGACGTCACTGGGCACAAGCCGGATGGAACTGGCCCTGTGTGGGATTGGTGGTGAACTCAATGTTTGCTTTGGAGTTTTCACCAAAACGCTGCAAACATTAGGGTGAGAAAAATACAACCGACATGGACGTCATGTCGTGATACCGTTACACCACGCCGGCAGTAAGAATCGCCACGTCATGGCAATATCTTACAAATGGACCATGTAAAGATAGCAAACTCTATGAGGAGTGTTTTATGAGGAGTAGATGTACTTGCACACACACACACACACTCACGCACATTCTTAAAGACACAAACAGATTGTTATTATTACAAAGCACCTGATGACGAAATGCTGCACACAAAATAACAATTACACAGCGCCGTAAAACATGAGAATGAAAGAAAAGCATCCTTCCCATAGCAAATTAAACTCAGTGGACTTTTATGGCTGACCAGATCAGATATGAGTGCACAGGCTGAGGCATACTTCGTCCTTTGGACTTGTGCAAGTGTCTATTATCGTCTGTTCTAAGAAGGCATTGGCACTTTATCAAATCACGCCAGAGCAGATTCCCTCTAATGTTTCGGACCGGTGCTAATGCACTGCCATTGTTGGCCAATATGAAGGCAGGGGATAATGGGAATCTCCCACTCCCTTCCTTTCACGCTGCCAATGAGAGAACTCGGTCTGCGGTTAAACAAAGCCCGGCCTCGGCTGCCTGCTGGAGAACAGAAGGAACAAGGACAAAGGACGAGGACAAAGAAGATTTGACATGGTGTTAACACCTGTACAAATCTGAGGGCACGAGGAGGAAACTTGTGTCTGCCTTTTCTACTACTGATGAAAGTGTGTTTAATGCCCTCTGCAATGTGTGTGTGCTCACTACTGTTCAGGCCACTAGCCCACAGATCAATGCAGCAGTTGACACCCTTCTTAAAGGGACATTAGGCAGGATGATCAATCTCTGACATGCTATTAAGTGTTGCACTCAACGTGGAGACAAAGGGGCGTCGAGAAAAAGCCCACCCAACTGAAAGCTACGATAACTATGCGTGACGCGTGCCGTGCAGCCGCGAATCAATGGTTGGGAATGCAGCTTTTGACCTTGAGATCTGAAGGGAAGAAAATCCTCATACGCAGACTTAAAGTGAGTAATTACATTATGTCGAATCAGCACTTATCGAATGCTTTGCCAGGATTAATTATGATGCCGCCAAGAGGCTAATCATGGACGGGGCGGTCAACACGCGTGAGTTATTCTAGAAAACTGTCAAAAATGGGTGGGACTGAATCACTTGTGGTGTTTAGACACCGAGTCAAAGTCATTAAAAGAAAAGCAAATTGGCCCCAGATGGATGTGGGTGGTGGATGCTGTCCTGCTATCAGATTGACCCAAAGACTCATCAGGCTGCTGGTTAACAGGGAAACGTGTAATATAATATATAATTATCGCACATCTATGGCAGGTCCTACTATGGCGAAAAAAGGAACCAGAAAAGCTGACTAATATTCAATTCACCATAGCTGTCAGCTGCTCGCAGGACGTACAGGACCCCGGGGTAACTGATCGTGGAGGGGGGGGGTTATTAATTAAAACAATGATTGACATCTAACTTTCCCTCTAGTGGACAAGCTGTTCCAGCTCAGTGGAACTGCTGACGTATCCTCCATCTGTGACACGAACAAAGACGCCGATCCGTCAACCACGAGAGCGGCACGGAGCCGCAAAGAGGGAGAGATGGAGGGAGGTGACACGGGCCGACAGTCCGTTCTCGCTTTAACATGATTTGCTTCAGGGAGCCGATGGTGTCAAATTTGTGTTCGGCCCGTCTCAATTCCCCCCCAAACCGACCCCCCCCACGGGACACCAAAGTGCTACAACAGCAGAGGAAATCCAGCCCGCACCATGTCTGTGTTGAATCCAATCCAATTCCATCGCAACGAGCTGAATGAACCATAATAGCATGAGAGCAGTGGTGTCAGGGGGCATCGGGCGCCTTTTATGTACAGATTCGGTGTGATATGGATCACAGCACAATGGTGCCAGAAATCGACTTCACGTCTATAAAGACTTGAAAATGTCTTTGTCAAAATGGGTGATTTTAAATCTCAGAGTGATCAGTTGTTGATCATCAACAACCGATGTGAATAAGAATAACAACTATTCCTCACGGAGCTGTTCTCACCAGCATTTGGTTTCCCATCTTTTGGTAGAAGACGATCGCAGGCAGATTGCAAACACGAGTGTATCCTTTTGTGCTTTGAGCCGATTTATTGGATTTGTATTGAGATATTGGTGCATCACAAGCACTTTGAAGCCGTCCTTGTTTTCATCCGTAACTTTTTCTTCTGCTGCTCTTATCTCATAAATTAGCTATTTGGTGGTTGGTTGGATGGTGACACGCTGAGTGAGGCCTTTCGCAGTCGACAAATAATGACGACATTACTTTTGATAAAAACAGGCCATTATCGATCCTGCATTGTTGCGATCAGAACAAAGAGGAAGAAAGAAGACGCACGCAGAGCAAAGGCTCCACGATTGGGCTCCATGATTGGGCATTCTTAGAGCAGGTTCTTCCTCTGTCAGTGGACGCAGGCCACACAGGCTGATCAATACATTCCTTCTGGCTGAGCACAGCAGACCCTCGACCCGAAGCGCCGAGCGCGCCGTTATTTAGGGGGGCCTCGGAGTACGATAACTGCAACTCACGGCCCTTCCCGCTGTTGCACCCTCATAAATCATTCCGCTATTTACAGCTACTAAAATGGATCGCCGCAGGAAAGCTTTTTGCGAGATGTGGAGGAACGAGCGCAACCTCACGGCAGCTGCCTCATACGGCACCTCGCGCTGCACGGCCTAAACTCCTGCATCCTCTCTGACGGGTGTCATTACGGTCCGGGGCTGATCACGGTCAATAACATTCGATCCGTCATCAGATCTCCTCGGGGATGAACCGCTGGCTTATTACGTAAGCATTGCTTGTTGCCTAGCACTGTAAATGCTGAGCGCGAGTGCTGCCCTCTCTTCCCGTCCGCCGGCGTGCCGCAGAGAGAAAACACGCTCTGCCGACGATGTTCATCACTAATTCTGTTTTCATCAGGGGGTTTGTCTACGTGAGAGCGCGGGGGAGTAGGGGGGGGCGGGATGCACGGCGACAATAGAGGGGGAATCATCAGTGTTATTTCACGCGTGTGCGTGGCTTTCTCCCTCGCTGCGACCGCCTGACATCGCACACTGCAGCTGTGTGCGCGTTCGCACCGCACACTCCCCACTGAGGTCAGACGCAAGGTCGTCCTTTGCATGATGTGTACAGCGTGTGTGTGTGTGTGTGTGTGTGTGTGTGGGATTATTTGCCTTTTGGGCTCGTGCAGACCAGAAGCAGAACAGACACAGGGGGGCCCACTCGTGCTGCAGGCCCGCGAAAGAGTTTGTCGGCGTAGTCCAGTGAAACATACCACAGGGAAGACACTCACATCCATCAGCACCCCAAACCACAAAGTTTATTATGGCAGTCGCACTGGTACAGTATTTTATGTTCTTTCTATTTGAATTAACTCGTTTACAGCCGGAAAATAAATGTATTTATTCATGTTTCCTCTCCCCCCCTTTTCAGTTCAATGTTTACTTAACATTTCATGTTATTTCATTTGGACATGATGGCACTTTGTGATATCGATGCAACAATTATCCTACCAACGATGTTTTAACACTCATTAAACATTACCCAGCAATGCCAGTTGTCCAAGAAAAATCCATATTTCCTTTTCTATCAAGACCCTGACGAGAAAGCAAACGGATCGTGTCTACTGAGAAGGATCTTTCAATGAATTCAGCCCAGGAGCTGGAGGTATTTGCTGAAAGTTTTGGATTATTTATCCAACATTTCCGTTTCACACGCGCTGATTTTGGTTGAATTAAGGAATTTCATGAGTGTCACAATACAATAAGTATGACTGAAGTATTACATATTACAAGACGATGATACACATAGTAATATTTGCACTTGTTGATTCATAATAGAAATATTTAAGTTTAAATAAATGTTGTAAACACAAGCGTAAGTAAGCCCAGTGCCAGCTGATGACAACGCATATTTTGTTTGTGGTTGATGTTTACCTGCGCCGATGTTTACAATGAACAAAGTAAGACCGATGTGAGGTGCAGAAGAAGGTGGCGCAAATACAGGGATAATTATCAGGATATACTACACACAATAAAAGCAGCAAAGGAATCAATTTCTTACCTAAAACTGCTGGATAGCTGAGTAACCAACACTGTATCTTCTATCATTGACTTTGCAGTATCGAAATGCTACATTCATACTTAAGATTATTATCCATTTTAATGACACTACAATGTCAGACAATGCCTTCGGGGAGTGGTCACCGGATGCTCTATCATCTAATTTCATCCCAATCTAATAGATGTGTTAATGCTGTAATCATAATAGTTCTCCCTCCATAAAAAGTTGCTCGGGTTGGACACGTTTCTCTGATCTGTCTCATCATGTAATCCTCTTAAGAGCGCTTCCTCCCGCCCCCGAGTAACCACAACAAAAGCCCTCCTCTTCCTCCGCAGTCAATGCGACACGTCCCACTTCTTACAGTTATGTTAAGACAGCGATACGAAAATCAGCACAAAGGGATCACGATGGGCAAAAGGTTCAAGTGCTCGACTGCACTACAAGCACAAGAGAACCGCCAAGAGAGAGAACGTAACGCGGCAAGGACAAACATTATGAAGATGTTCTCTTAAAATGTGGAATGGGAACAAAGACAGCGGCACGTCATGGAAATTGACGTAATCGCTTTCCAAAATTATCAAATTGTTTTCAGGATTACATTACAGTAACATGGGGTGTTTCTGGAACAAGTGGAACTGCATAATACGAGTAATAATCACTTCTGTGGCACAGCCAGTGATAGTATCCAAAACCCCAGCCCCCCCCCGGGGAAAAGCCTAATCAATGGGCCAAAACAGAGAGATTAACTACATTAATATCCTGCGATCCTATTCAATGAGAGTGGAATTGACTGATGAATCATTCCGATGGACGATGCAGGCGGTGCGACGTCGCCCTTCCGAGGTGAAGCGTGTGAATAAAACGGGTACATGCAACAGCCAGAAGGAAACAAGGAGCGAGACCCTGTGAGCCGCCAACGGCCCTGAAGTTTGCACGTGTCGTACCTCTGCGAGTCCAGCAGCTCCCTGGGTCGGATGACGGCCTTCACCATGGCGTCGGGTCGCACCGTCTTCTGGGGCGAGGTTTTGGGGCTGGAGTCGGACTCTCCGCTCTCCTCGTCGCCCATGGCTTTGACGTAGCTGCTGCTCCGCATCCGACGGCACGGGATCTCGTCGTCCTTCTCGTCGCCAGGGTAACCCCCCCAGTCGTCCTGGGGCACCTGGCGGGGGCACGGGGAGCGGAAGCAGTCAATGTACTAAAATGCCCTTTTTGGTGACTTGGAAGCAGCGTCGTATTATCGCTTCATGAACTCGTTCCGCAGAGCGACATCATGATGGATTTCAATATTAACTCTCGATTTGTCTCTGCTTTAGTTTGATCAACTAGCGAGTGAACCGTCTGACTCTCAAGCTGCTTCAGATATCGTTGCGCACCACATTACTGTTGGGCAAGATTTGATGTGTTTTGCCTGTATTTAACCGTAGCTAAAAGTCATGATAATAGCCTTTTGAAATATTCCTACCGCTGCATCAGAAGAGCACAGCGACTCTAAATGCAGCCTGTTGAACCCCGTTTTGTCTCGCACAGTTGGTTCCATCCATTGAGTTACACAGGAGCCTTTTCACCACGAATCATCCGGCATGGAAGCCCTCCCACAGCTGCCACAGCTGCCACAGCTGCTCAGTCTTTTAGCTTTCCTATATTTTGGCCAGGTTCAAATCAGCTGAAGCTCCTTGACTGAAACGATGTCATGAATTTAGGCCGGAAATATACAGGTTGAAAATGGAGAAAGGGAGCTCTCTTTCTCTGCCGACGGCGGCCTGCCGATTGGCGCACGCCGGCCCGTTTACATTTTGCAATTCTCTTCCAGTCGTTAAACAGGTTAATTGAGTATCCTGACGTCAGCATCCCCGTTTCCCCAGTGACGGTGAGAGCAGGGTGCGCTCACGACACCGATCCCGACACCCTTTATGGGACACACACACAGACGTTTACTTTGGTCCGGCATGCTTTGCGATCCAATTTCGTTGTTGGAATCTAACATGTAGCTGATGTAACAGGACGGAACGTCTGTGGATCCTGTGGACCAATTATTTTGTGAATCGTGAAAGAAAGATGTGGTTCACATTTTTAGGCGCCAAAACACCATGTCGAGATGTTATCAAACGATCCTCTCTCTATTAGAGGTAGTGGTGTGGCTTGTGAAAATCTGCGGGACAATTTCGCCCAATCATCGTAAACAACCGAGGATGATTGTTTGCAAGCTCATTACGCGCGGTACCCCCCCCCCCCCCCCTCTCTCTCTCTCTCACCATATTTCCCCCTCTCTCTCTTCCTCCCTTTGGTATCGCGCACACACCCTCATTTTGCTTTGGCAGTGCAGCCTTATTCAATCACCGGGACAACGACAGCATCAGCCTCCCCCAGAAAAACACACAATGCAACACGACGCACCGACGCACCGACGCACAGGCCCTCAGCCGTCACACAAACGGAGAAACCGTTTCCCCTTCTTGCACTTTGCTGACGATGCGTACGACGGTCAGGAGCTTCAGCCGGACGCGGATTTACGCGGTCCATGATTCGCACTTATAAAATATGAAATATGACATTGTCAGTAAGCGTCACATTTGATGTGATGCGGTCACAGCCGTGGCTCGGTGCCAATCCACTCCGCTCGAGATTTCATTAAGTAAATGTGACCCGGGTCCATATTCCCAGTAATACTGGACCAGGTCCGGACCAAAGGGGAACATTTAAATAGTCTCCCAATTGCTAGTAGTAATTCCAAAGCTGTTTAACTCACGACTCACAGGTTCACAATGAACCGGGACGGCAGCTGGCAGCTTGTGGGAAATGTCAGGAGGAGATACGCCGCATCCAAATGTCACTAATGCGTCAGACACATGACTCTTATCACTCTCTGACGCAAATGTCACCTATTTGAAAATAACTAATCAAAAATTTTCTTTCAAAGAGATATAAAAACATTTTAAGAATAAACAGCAGTTCTTTGACAGTTTCGTAAAAAAATAAAAATAAATCTGAACAGAAAAATGTATTTCAACTGCAAACACGTCATGACATGTATACAATTCATCAAGAGGAATGAAGGTGCACTGTCACTCCTCTGACGCAGGTCACATCAAATCAAAACACCCTGAATAATTGATCAATTACGGCTTCATTGGCCTTTGTCATTCACAGAGAGTGCTGGGTCAGAGCGGCCTTTGACTCTCAAGGGTCATGTATGAATTTAGAAAAGATAAGCTTACTTTCCCGAAACATGCACGCATGCACACTCAAACACACACACACACACTCTGATAAAAACAAGTAATTCATCTCCCTTCCAAAGACAGGCATGCGGCGCCTACCAACTGGAGTCGATGGGTTAATTAAGTCTTGGAGGGGTTTGATATTTTTAGAAGTCTAATTAATGAACGTAACGCCAGAGGATGGGCGCAAGCTGTGGGGAGATTGGTTTGAATTCCGGATTGGCTGGCAGACTGAATAGGTTTGCAGCGTGTCCCTCGCTGCACATGAAGAAACAGCGGCGCGCGTCCATTGGTTGCCGCGGACACGCGCGTGGTTTCCCGGCCCGCTCAATGAAGTGGACGTCAGGACATGGTGGAACCTACCTGAGCTAAAGCACGGGGTTCAGAAGTGGGCGTGTGTGTTTGCGCGTTTTTAGACGATTTCACTGGTCGCCCAACAAATGTGCCGCGTCCTCTCGTGTTTAGCGGCTCATGACGCGGCGAAGGACGTGAAGCGCTTTCTGAATATCAGCCAAACGTTTGTAGGAGGAGTGTGAAAATTCACAGCTCGAGTGTGAAGATTAAAGTCTGATCGTCACAAAAACAGTTAGTTTGATTTTGCTCAATATGGAAGAGGAATGCCTTGTCACGTGCTTTTTGCCTTGAGAACAACTCCTTTCAGCCCTTCAGCTTTGCCGATAATTAACATCGGGGAAGTGGATCACACCAGCTCTCATAGCGAGAATGTGCCGACATTGGCATATTGGCTGTGTATGTTTTTTCCGATACTTTCAGTGCTATTATCTTCCCCCACAGGGGGGGAGCGTGTATTTGTATGTGTGTGTGTGTGTGTGTGTGTGTGTGTGTGTGTGTGTGTGTGTGTGTGTGTGTTGTTCAGGCGGGCCTGCAGTGCAGCAGTGCATTTAATTGATTGACTCTGCGGCTCTATCTATACACAGCACCTCTCCCGCTAACAAACATAAGTCATGGCCTTTAAGTCATAAAATAAAGTGAGAAAGACAGAGAGAGAGAGAGAGAGAGAGAGAGAGAGAGAGAGACGGGGGAGGGAGGGGGGAGATTCAGGGGATGTCACGTAGACGGATAAATGACTGAGAGAGGAAGGAAAAGAGACTTAATCATTGTTGGATCATTGCTAAACAGCCTCCAGGCATATTATATGTTATATAATATATACTTGTGCTCATATGTGTAAGCATGTCAAAATTAGCATTTGCATCAACAACCAAACACCAAACCCTGAATACACATAAAGTCAAAATACCCATGAGCCCCACGAGGATTCAAGAGGCCTTTTCATAAATAATCCTGTTTTCCTGTCCCACCTGTGCACTTTCAATGTGTGCATGAACACACTGGAGTGGAAACTCATAACACACTAAAACCCATTCTTACTTCATATCTTATAACAGTTTCTACCCTCGGCTGAGCTGGAGAAATTCAGCAAAATGAAGTTTGATATAAACAGACTTAGGAAATAAAGCACGACATATTGATTCATGCCATGAATCAAGCTACTTTAACTGCTTGAGCTCCTTCACCAACTCGGGAGTGAAAACATCTGGAAGGTGACAGGGGACAGCGCGCTACTGGGCACCACATGGCACGAGCACTTAAGAGACGCTGAAGCGTCACACGCCGCTTTTGAATTCCAACATGTAGAAGAATGTGCTAAACAATTAACATTTAAATGGCTGCAGCCTGACAACCTCCTTTTTAGAACTGCAGCAAACATAAGGTTAGAAGTATGAGCAGATGCTCGCCGTCACGGCGGTAACCACGAGAGCAGAGGCTGGTAGCTGTCTGGGAACCCCTTCGTTAAGGAAGTCAGGGAACCCCCCCCCCCCGTGTGCTGCTGTTACTGCAGCTTTCGGTCACAGTGGCAGTTTGGTTTCTGCTGCTTTGCAGTCCCCCCTTTTTTTTTGTGATTTAATCAGTTGCCTCTCTCCCTCTCAAACTCCACCTTCGGCGAGCCGACGTGGCAATTAATTGGCTTATTAAATCCCTCCGCATTGTCCTATCAGCAAATCTATCAAAGACTAATCCTCCGTTTGTACTACAGGAAAGGCCGTACGCAAGGAGCGGCGGACTTAATCAGGGCTGAGAGTTGTCAGCAAGACAAAGTTGTTGTGCAGGCGAGTTATAGAGTGGGTGCGAGGGAGGTGGAGGAGGTATTGATCACAGCCGTTGCTGCTGTCCAGGTGCATCTGCATGACTTGAAGAGTGTCCACGCGTTTAAAATTCATTCACGTGAGCCTGTTACCAACAATCACCATATTTCATTAACATCAAGCGCTCGGCCAAACCTGTCCTCAAATCCACGTGTGTGTGTGTAGGTGTGTGTGTGTCTAATTGGGCCTAATTTGGGGAATGACTCAGATGGTGACAGAGAGCGATGGCCACTGCCAGGTCTGATCCTGCGACATTTGTCATTTCAAAGAAAGGTCGGCCAATATAAATCTATCTCTGTCCCCCCCAATGTTCGGTTAATCGATCTCTCAAACGCTCACACACACACAACCAGACACGCGCACACCGGCTGCACTCACACGGAGATTAACGAACGCGCGCTTCGGCGAAACGAGTCGCGCGTTCCTCTCTGTCCGCCGTCTCCTGGCCTTTCTCTCCAGGAGCTTTTCATTCCCTCCATCCAAGGGCGTAAACAAGGTGAATAGCACATCATCAAACCATCTGGAGTGCGATAAATAACCCGCCGCCCCCCGACACACACGCACACGCACACACACACACACACACACACACACACACACACACACACAGTCTCAACCAGGATACAGCTTATGTTGTTACATCGCAGACACTTGTGGCCAATCCCCAGTTGGGCGGTTGGGAAAACTTCCCAATGTGGCCGCTGGTTGTGTGTGCGGAGCCGCGTTCTCTGGCCGGTTCTACATTGAACGACTGTAGCCACGGAGACCAAAAACAAAGAATTCAGCTCCCCAAGAGGGCATTGGCTTTCCTCCCCGGGGGAGGGGGGGGGGGGGGGGATGTGTCACCCTGCTCGGGGTTGGATTGATAACGGCGGGGCTAAGTTTAGCCCTGCGGCAGGAAGGGCGGAGGATATTTTTAGAAAGTGTTTATGGTGCCGCGACTGGGACAATACCTCAGCCGAATGGAAGTAAGCAAGGGAGCGGGGCCACTAAACACATCCCAGTGAGACATCACCGCACTTAGTGGGATTGAAAACAGATTGAAGTACACTGCCTGTTTAGTTGAAAACGATCATCAGTTATGTTTAAAAACACGCCGGTCAAAATGATTCCTCTCCGACATTTTCTATTGACGTGAGCTCAGATTGAGTGGTTCCTTCGGCTCCAGTGGCTGATTCGTGTAATGTATTGGCTTTCCGTTTTTCGATCCATACAACACACTGCCGCTTCGAGCTCTGCGTCTCCTCCTCGTCTCTCCCGGCGCGCTCACTTTATTTCGGCTGCAGGCTGTACTTACACGATGCCATCAGATATCACATTGCTGTCTATTGAGCAGCATTGCCGCGGAATTTATTTTCCCTGAGCTTTTGCAATTTGGGATCCATAAACGCGCTTTCCTTTTTTTTCTTCTTCTCTCTTTCACATTCAGTTTTTAAAGTGCTGACTCTGAATTGATCCCCGTGGAGCAATGGGTGTCCCGTGGAGCCCATCAATGGCTAGATGCTAACGTCTTTCTCGGGGCTGAAACCGATGCAAAATCAAAGCAACAACACTGAGGCCCCCCCCCCCCTTCACGTTGCTGACTCTTCTCTTCCCCGCCAGCGCAGATCATTTGTGTGGCTAATTGATTTGTCCCCTCCGGTGCCAAGCCCCTTGCTTAGCCTCGGGACAGGTTCGCATTGTAATATCCTGGGCAGCTACGAACAAAACGCTTTCTTGTAGATCAATTGGGAATCCAGCGGGGATGAGCAACTCTACATTGTCTACTTTCCGCCGATGCCCGTAGAAGCAGATTGCTTTGTGTTTCACGACGCGGGCTTAAGTTTTGGGATTGCTTTTTTTTCCATCTGCCTCGGGTCCTTATGAATTCTACATTATGGCGAACGGCGGCTCAATCACTGAATTGGCTGAGTGAGGAAATGGATGCTTCTATCGTCTCTTCAATTGCATCGAATCGCCAACCTCTCCTTTCCCATCATCTAGCCACACGCAGATCCAATACACTACATATCAATGAAAAAGTTACGTGCAGAACTGACACATAAAGCAAACTCACCTGGAGGTAGTGACAGGGCCGGAGGTTGGGCCTGAGCTCGGTGGGCGTCATGGGTTTCTCCAGGTTGAGGGAGGACTTCCTGTAGGCCTCCTTGGCTTGGCTGACCGTGAGCGTTGACCAGGAGCTCCTCTTCATGAACTTCCCCTCCGGTGCCATGCTTATGCTCTCGCAGGCGGAGCACTTGACGTCATTGTTGCTCTTGGAGGTCTTCAGCGACAGCTCTCCGGCCAGGTGGCCGTGCATGGAGTCAGGGTAGCAGTGGCCGACGTGGTCCGCCGGATGCCGCGACATGACGCTGGGCGTCCTGTATGTGCTGTCGCTATCCAGGTTGTCATCCGAGCTCCACCAGCCTCCCGAGCGTTGCTTGCCGCTGCCGTCGGACTTGCGCTCTTTGCTCTTGCTGCGCTTGCTGTGTTTGTGGTGGCCCTGGTGGTGGTGATTGGCGTGGTGTGAGCTTTCCCGGTGCGGGTCGCCTTTGGTGCCGTTCATCTTGGAGGAACCTTCGAGAGAGTGTGACTTTGTGAAGAGCTTCTGTACCGAGTGCACCAGGTGGCGTATCCGCCCGGGGCTTTCGTTGCGCTGCTCTGTAGTGGTGGTGGTGGTGGAGGTGCGTTGGTATTGCAGCGTGTGGAAGCCATCCCGGTGGAGGGGCATCTGCTTCTCGAACTGGTCCAGGAGGTTGGGTGGGATTCGGTTCATTTTGCCGCTGCCGCCGTGCGAGGAGGAGCCGCCGTCGTCTCGGGAGTCCCTGCCGCCGGAAGTGTTGCCGCCGCTTTCCCTCGCGCCGCTGCCATAGTGCATGCGGGGGAAAGTGCTACTAGAGATGGAGTGGTCGGTGGCCGACATGGACACCGGCACCACCATGCACTCAGAGTGGATGGAGCTCCTGGGGGAGCAGCGGTGGTGGCTCTCGAGGGGGCAGCTATCTGTGGGGCTAAGGAGGTAGGACGGGGGGCGTGAGTTGCCATGGTGGAGATGATGCTCCAGGGAGTGGTCGCATTCAACCAGGCCGCAGGTGTGGGCGGTGGGGGAGGTGAGGTGGAGTTGGGCAGGACGGCCGCCGGAGAGACCCTTCATGTTCCTGGGTGGAAGGGAGCAGCTGTCCTCATCGAAGTACTGCGAGGGCGACCATGAATACAGCTGGTCTGAAAGAGAGCAAGAAACTATCAAATCAGAGCAAGAAAAAAAAATATATACAGTATATATCAGATTAAAAACATGGGGGGGGTCTGGTGCCAAATGACTAGGCCTCAGAGAGGTTGGTCATCATCCCCATACAGCCAATCTCTTCATTGCATAAAACTACAAAGGAGATGAAAAAGTGTCCCGTCTGAAACGTGATAAATCAGCAGATTGCACAGTCAAAATCCGTCTCATTGCACCGTCTGTGACGGGATATTGCAAGAGGGAGAAAAAGAGGGGACGCAAGAAAGACAAAAGCAGGCGACAGGTATAGGAGCCGGCACTGCCATTTATCCAATGCAAAGTGAAATAATAGCCCATCACTCCGCGGTGCTGGTGTCATCCGTCAAAGCCCTGAGGACGGCGCCGTGAGGCATTCGGCCAGATAGGCGTCCTTGGGAGACTTGATCACCAAATGTGCCCTCTCCTTTTCGTTTTAGTCTCTGAGACTAAAACCCAGTGCTATGGGAAGAGATCCCAGTGCTGTAGTATTGAACTTAATCAGAGGATTCAGCACCGGTCCTTTCAATCAGAAAAAGGGTTTAAAATCCACGTCAACACGACTCAAAATGTAGAGTAGATCCCGAAATCTTAATATATAAATACTGCTTCTTCTTCATGAGCTTTACATTTGGTAATGAGTGCCAAATAAGCTATTGTGTCAAACAAAAGACCGTAAAAAAAGTGTGAGAGAAAAATAATATGTTGTTTTCTGTCTGTTCTTGTCCTTCCTCATTAATGGTTTCACCATAGAAAAAAACTGAATGTTGCAGAAAATATCTAGCCAGGGTCATCAAATAAACAATTGCCGTATCTAAGCCGCCTGGCCTGCCAATGATGCATAAACCGGTGGTCTGTACCTCTCTTTGTGACCACATTAAATGTAGGAGAGCTTTTATGAGCTACGGTCGTATGAGGAAGAGGAGTTTCAGGCCTTTTAAGTGCCACCTTTGGGACCGCCTCAACGTAGCGTTTTCGGGCGCTCCAGTGAATAAATATTATGACAAATAACATGTTCACACGTAATTCTTATGCTCATACTGGTGGTGAAGGTCACATTACCCCTAAACAAAAGTGGGTTCCAGTCCAGTGCAATGAGCAGCTCCCTCTTCCTGTTTGAGGTGTTTTCTATCATCATCACGGCCCCCTGCCATTTGAATTAACTTGACAAGGAAGGACCGGTCACTCCCAGGGCTCTTCATTCAAATTGCCTTCTGCTGATGGAGCAGGTATGGAATGTTAAAGCCTTTGGCTAGAAATGAAAGTCCCTAAAGAGCCTAACCTGTAAAGACGGGATGGAGATATGGATAGAAGCGTTCATAGCGTTGGTGTATTTTAAATGTTTTTTTGTCCGCCCTATACAACCGTGGAACGAAACACTGGTACATTGGGTTTAATAAGGCTATAATACAAAAGCATGCGGACAGATATGGTTTTTTTTCAGCCCTATAATCCTTTTTTGGTTTAAAATCTTATCGAGACAATCCTAGAAAAATAACGGTTTGACAAATAAATCCTACTTTGTCTCTGGGTGTATTTAGAATTTTCCTCTTCAAAATATATATTCGCAAAACCCCCCAAAAAGCCTGAGATCACCGAAATGACTTCTTTGCTGATGGTGAATTGTGACTCTTTGTGAGGGTGGATGCTTCTTTTCATCTTGGATGAAATGTATTCTGTTCAAGCTTATTTTTAATGAGGTCTCAACCCCTCAGGTCCAGCCTCGCTCTTCCGTTGCTGTCGTCTTCCATCTGTCGAGATGAAAACAAATTCTCGTTGTTTACCAGTCTGAGAGGAGGATGTCTAACTCGGCAGGCTACTCGAAGCATGCACGAGGGCATAAGGCTGCACGGTGCTGAACATGCAACATACAATCCCAGGCGAAAGATGTCCAGGGAGTACAGCTAAATCAGGTGAACTTAGCATGAGTCCAGTTAGCTGCTTGCTGGTCCTTGCAGCAGAAGGACGGAAGCGCGCGATTGATTGATTTGATGCTACATTTCTGTCCGAATTCACATGACTTGTCTCATTCCGAGGCCTTTCTCTGACAGCCGACTATTCCTTGAGGTATCTCCGGGAGCCGCGCTGAATAAATGATCTACCGGCGGTGTTATGGCGTTTCCTGGGACTGGACGACAGACGACAGACGTGTCTCTTTCGCCTCGCTCGCACCTCTTCCTCCGCGGACTCCAAACTGAAGTTACGCTCAAGGAAAGAAAAAAAAGTACAGACATTTCAAAGGTTGTTGAATATTTTACATGAGAGGAACGGCCTCCTTGGGGCAAGTGCTCGGCAAACGCGGAGACAAGTACCCGCGACATCTGTGGACAGAGGGAGGGCTTGTTCTGTCCGATACAAGCAGCTGCCTTCACGCTATCGGCTTCCTGGCGAGGGGGCCACCTGCTGAGGTGGCCTGCTGGGATGGAGGGGGTATTAAGAAACTGCCAAGCAAATTTCAGCACAATATACAGCGGTGAGGCAACCTCATCTTTGAAGTGTTAATGAGGCGAGGGCAAAAATCATGAAGAATGAGAATATTAGATAGTTTTATGAAAGGAAAAGGCAAAGGGTCCTTAATGCGCTCCTCTTTTCACCGAAGGCTGAAATAATGAACATTAGCCGGCGGAGACAAAGTCCTCCAGGTGAAAAGCAGACGTGTCCGAAAAATGTACAAATCACATTCAGCTTGACAATTGGCACGCGGCGCAATCTTCCTTTCTTGTCTGACCTAACACCCAAACGAACAATCCAGCTCGACAATGTCGTCAAAAGCCCTCTGAGCTCAACAGAGATAACAAAAAAAACACCTTTTATATGAGCGCTGCAGGGAGACCGAGTCAGGGGAAGAGGCTCGTTTATTAAGGGGCTTTTGTTTTGTGCTGCCCGAGTGCAGAGTGTGACTAAAGGTCGTTTTGCATCATCTTAGCACATTAGCATTTAAATAGCATTATATCTGCACAGAGTGTCACTGACGGCCCCCACTCACTCTCCCACCGGCCCGGACCTTAACGGGAGTTGAAAACAAAGTCAAAAGATGATAACGCGCCGGACTAGAGTGCGGGATCAGAGGCGCGCAACCTTCAGACTTGGCGGCGGGCGGCGGGCTGGCTGGTCGACAGCGCTAACTGACAGGCGACTGTGATGAAGACTCCCGACGACGAGGCAACGCATGAGAGACGTGCGATGGCAGCTTTTAATGTTCTGCATAAGCGATACGATCTGTCAGTTCCCCGCCATCAAACGCAATAACCCGCCCTCAGTACTTAAATTTGGTTGTTTCTGCAAACCCCCCCCCCCCCCCCCTCTGCGGAGCACTTCAACACTTGGAAACATCTGTCATGTTCATTTCAATCCGGCATGCTTTTTTGAATTGGCTTGAAAAGAAAAATCGCTGCCTTGCAACTTGGTGGCGCTGACCAGAACGGTTGCCTGTTGTAGCCCGTCCAGCTGCATCCCTTCCAACTGTCCCGGGGGAAGTCACACCCCTTATTTTCTGAGCCCAAAAAATCGATAGAGCAGCTTTCTTATCCGCGCCCAAAGGTTAAATGCTCCCCCCAGAATTCTGGCCATTTTTTTTTGTTTTAGCAAATCAAAAGGAAAGAGAATTGTGTCCCCGACCCTCGGGCCAAATCAAGCCATGGTGTGAGCCATTAGTTCGGGGGAAAGAGGCCCCGGCCGTGGAGGCAGAGCCGCGGATCTGTCAGCTTTGTGCGAAGCCTCGTGATACGCAGCGTGGCAGCTCCGATCATCCTAAGGCCCCGGGCTTACGGCTCTGGCAGATCTCTTGCTCACTTGTCCGTCCGAGTGACGGCACAGCGCGGCCCATGCAAACGTCCGTAGTGCGGGCGGCTGAGTTGCGACTGAGCTTTTTAATTGCAAATGCAATACTCAACTGGCTGAGCCCTTGTGCCGATAGGAAGCCAGTCACTTGTCGGGGACATTTTTTTCCCCACGTGGACCATCTGCGAGGCAGAAAATGGCAGAACAAACTCTTCTCCTTCTCGCGTTTGCCGCTATGCTACTGCGTTCTGGGCATGAGGGGGAACACAAAGAGATTGTTATATAACTGCGTGCTGACTCAGCATAGCATGTGTCACACAAGACACGTGTGTGCGCAAGGCTGCTCATGCAGTAACGCGACGGGGGAGAACCCACTCGTACGTCATACTGGGACCTGGAACACAATCTGGGTCTGCATGTGTGAGAAAAGGCACTGGGGTCACATGGGGGGGGGAGTAACTGAGACCCGTGCATTTGCTGGGAACCTCTGGACAAGATCTAGAGAAAACACCTGCAACAGATGTTTATATTGTTTGTGCTTGTCTAAGATGCTGCACTACTGCAAACACCACATTCTTATGTGAAAAAAAGAAACTCTGTTTTTATGATCTAATGGAAAACACTGAATGCAGATAAGTCAGCGTGCAGTGAACAGGTGGGTCAGCGAGTGCATGAGATGCAAGAACAATGTTTCGATGCTTTAAACCAAAGGAGAACTTGAAGGTGAGATTTACCTCCCCTGTTACTGCCTCATCTGGAGATATTCCGAGGTCACAGTGCCCAGACAACTTCTCTGATTTAATAATTAGAAGATAAGCCAACAATGAATTCTGTAACGTTGCCATTTTCATTTTGCAGCCTCAAAGACAGGGAATCTTTCACAGGAACCGTTCTGCTAAAATTTAACTACATAATCTAATTAATATGAAATAAGAAAAAATCCAATTAACCTTTATTGGCAAAGTGAGAACACACCATCAAGGAATTTGACTTTTTGGAATGTTTCAAACCAGATCGCTTGTATCACCGCGGCCTGAAGAGGCTCCCGTTGCACCATGCGGCTATGGAGACGCTGTCTGACCCGACCCCCCCCCAGCAGTCAAAGCTCACCCCACTATCTTTCTCCCAGCAGAAGGGAGGGTGCCTGAAAGCAGAGAGGGGGGGGCGGGGGGGTGGATTATAG